ACATGTTGTTTTCATAAATTCATTTTGAATTTAATTTAATTGGGTTTTTTTTCATAGCACATTCTAGTTCAATTTGAAGTTGTCTTTACAGGACACTCGGTTTCAAAATTCAGTATGAAGATTTTAGTTGTTTATTCTTCAAGTCACACTAAGACTTTTTTTCCAGACATGTGTCCTCAAACGCTTCATTACCGATCACCAGACCATTGATTTTTCAAGTTTCTTTCATTTTTTTATAGCTCTTTCAGTTCTCGAGACATTTATATCAAATTTGAAACATTAGTTATGTTGTCAGGTTTACATCGTACAGACCCTTTAACGATTTTAATTAAATCTAGCATATTATAAAATTATTTGTTTTTTTGGCAGTTGCAGATGCGTAAAAATTATAGGGGACAAAAAAGTGTATCAACAAAATAAAAATGCATTAGGTATTTTGAAATCTTCGTAAAAAACGGCTTGACCCCTCCAAATTCTTACGATTACTCAGCATACTGTATGATGTAAACCCTAAACATGAGAGATGTTTTGAATTTGATCTAATAATCTCGAAAATCCGAAAGAGCTTGTAAAAAAAAAATTTTAACGCTCTGTAGAAGCATTTGCACACGAAAAGTGTCTTATTTTGAACTAAAAAATACGGCCTTGAAATCTAGATACTAAATTTTCAAACACACTGTATATTGAAACAATACTCATATTTTCATTTGAAGAAACAAGTCACTATCCTGAAACAAAAATTTGAAAAACGAACATCCCACCTCCTCAATTAACCTAAAGACAGTATTCGATAAAATAATTGCCATCATAACTGGAATGTACGTCTAGCGTGGACTAGGGCCCCTTGATGTAAATTGACGTATTTGTCATCTCAACAGGGTACGGACAGATCATAGCTCCATTCTCATAAGGTTTGTTCTCGTTCGAAAAATAGACAGTCCGAAACCATCGGAAGCATGCGCAATTCCAGGGAACTTGAAAAACCCTAATAGTTTGTTGTCTGAAACTGCGCATGCTCCTGATGGTTTCAGACTGTTTATTTTCCGAACAAGAACAAACCTCTTCAATGATCTAGTGACTTTGGTTTTGTGTATTTTCGTCCCAGACATGAAATTGCGTTCACGTCACATTCATAGGCGTTATATATATACGTATTAATAAACAACACGGATCATAACGGGTGCCAGGATGAAGCCAAAAATATGAAACAAATGAATATCCATAAGGATTTGGTGGCATGATACGCATGCGCCATGCGCTATTATAGTAGTCATCAAAGACATGCGTTTCGGTGGACAATGACGTTTACTAGCCTTTCAATCAAAGCAGTATGTGTCTGATCGTTTCAAAACTTTTCCTTATGGATAGTCATTTGTCCTCGAAAATTGGCTTCATGTTTCGCTATGGAAACAGATAGAGATTATCCGTATTGATTATTAATACATATATGGTTATAACATAATTTTGATTAGTACTTCTTAATTCGCGATAGAAAATAATACGTCGCTCCACCTGACAGCAACAACTTGAACACTTCTGAGCGGTTCGTTTTGATGATGTGACCAATAAGCACAAACCAAAAACAAACATGCCGCTTTGACAGCTTCCAAGAACTCCGATAGGTAGCGTGCGCTTATTTTCTATCGCGAATAGGACATTATTCAATTCTGTATTGGAAGGATGGTAAAATGTGCTGCGTTAAGCTGTATCAATCAGTTGGACGGCAAATTTGGATTTGCCAGCTTTTCAACAAATGCAAATGAACTTGGAACATGGAAAGTGAAGAGACCAAATTGGGAAAATCGGTAAATACATCAGCAAGATATGCAAGGTAAGTTTTTGAAAGCATTTTAGTAGAAACAGTTTTGATTAAAACGTTGGATTAAAAGAAGAGACATATGACAATTTAAAAAATTATACCTACATTTAGAAAATATTATGTGTTTCTAAAACACTGCGAAAATGATACCCAACATGAATATATAAATATACAGCACACATGACATATGAGCACATTAGTATAAATACCTACATCAAAGTTTTCACCATTTCTCAACCATAAGGCTTAGTCTGAAATCAAAATTCATTTATTGATTAGGTACTGCCTTAGAACAGTCCCATTTAGTAAAACGTATCAAACTTTCAGAAAAATTTGCTCACTGCCTCACGAAGATTATGATGGAGTTGAAAAATCGAAAACTCAAAAATTATTGATCATCATTTGGATATTATAATATGTAGATTTGAATCAGGAATTCCATGTGGAAATTACATATGATAGGCCTGACCGACCTTGGAGGTAAAACATTGAAACACAACCTCACTTTTCTCATTTGTTTACAAAGGAATCAAAGGAATGAGATAGTTTTTTCACAATATTTTGGCATAAAAATTGTGTTTTTTGGGCTATTCATTAATTCCAGCATGCCATTACATTGTGCTATTGTACTGGGGGATTCAATAAGGGTGACGAGATATTGTACCTATTTCAGGAACTAATAATATTGCTAACAAGGTCTGGTTCAAGAAATAAAGGTTTTATGAATAACATAAGAAACCATCCAGCTATTTTGGTTTTTACCGCTCTCGCTAGGTGGCGTATTTTTCAAACTATTCAGTTCTTGAAATACAGTACCTCGTCATCCTTATTGAATCACCTGGTACAATGCAAAAAAAATGCAGCGGGAGACGCAGGAATATAATTTTTCAGGTAAATAGTGATATCACATAGTTTTTATTATGAAATATTAGTTGCGTTTCATTTATCCGATTCCGCCACCAGAATCACTTCAATGTGTAGTTTTATTTGCAACTTCTCCGATTCCAGTTGCTACTTTTCATTTCCACTCACCACAAGGAATGACGTGAATACGTGGATGACTGTTGACAGTTGTACAAAAATGAAAATTAGATTGATGAAAGACGAAAGTTTTGAAAGTCGAAAATATCGTTATTCCGTTATCGGACTACAATCTGAAGAATACAAATTGAAATTTCAATAAAATGCTAGGAATAATAAGTATCAAACTGTCAAAAGCTCATGATTACTTCAAGTAGGAGTAGGTAGGATAGGTTCCATATCATTATTCCCAGATAAAATTAGTTCTTTCTATCACAGATAACTTTCTTTGGTAATTTTGCACTTATCATGCGATGGTTTTTTTTCGAAATTTTTACTTACTTATGTATTTTTGTCTGAAAAACACGAATTTGATAATGAAAATGTGAACAAACCATTATTTTTTAAGATATTTCACTATAAAGTTACAAATTTCACCTTTTTTTCCGCCTGTCTTCTGGATCGCATTTAGAACAATTTGCCTTCTTTTTCCATCATTAGACAATTTATATATATCACACAATGTTGGACACATTTTTTCATTATATGAGTCAACTAGAAGTATGATTTTTTTGTGATTTATCCATATTTAATGAAAAGAAGGAAGAATATCATTTGAAATAATGGCGTGTGTAATGTCATTCCAAAGCAATCTATTGACATTTGACATCTCGTGGATTGCCTATGGATTAAATGGACATCATCTGGTATGCTTGCTCTAAATAGAATAAACTCGCCATAAAAATCTATTTCCTGTTGATTTTTCTATCTAAAAATGTGTCGTTGAAGTACATCATGAGTATATAAAGTGTCCAATGACAAAATAAAGAGAGCAAGTACCTGTAAATGCACCACAAGGGCGAAAAGAAGGCAAAATTTCGAACTTTTTCTTGAAATATCTCGATAAATATTGGTTTGTTCACATTTTCATTATCAAATTCGTGATTTTCAGACAAAAATACGTAAGTACCAAGAAAAATTTTCGAAAAAAACCCATCGCATGATAAGTGCAAAATTACCCTTTCTTCAATCACCACAATCACTGCTCCAAATATACATTGATTTGTTTTCTTGATTTTCAACTCTAGAATTGTGATCTTGAAATTCTTCGGAGCCATCTAGCAAGATCATGGAGTTTGTCATGTTATTTGTAAACGTCATTCTGTTCCCACCGCCGTTCTCATAATGAAACAAATAAAACGCAACTTTCCTCATTTGAATTCCTTATTTCCTTCTGCCACTAGACCTCCAGTTTGATAGCATGAATCCAATCTTCTTGCTTTCTTTTAAAAACTTAACTAGTAATTCTTCAATATCCATTGCAGAAGGAATTCCAACGAGAAATGACAATCTATATGTTAGTGACTATAGTACTTTCAGATCCCAATGGACGTACCTGCAAAATAAGATTCCTTCGTCTCCCGCTGCATTTTTTGTGCATTGTACAACAGCACAATGTGATGGCATGCTTGAATTAATGAATAGCCGAAAAACACGATTTGTATGCGAAAATAATTGTGAAAAACGATTTCAATCCTCTGAAAACATATAATAAAAGTGAGGTTGTGTCTCAATGTTTTACCTCCAGGGTCGGTCATCTAATAGATCTTGCACGCAACCCGTTCAAATGTCAGAAATCAAGTTTTTATCCCCAGAACATCGCGTCTCCAGGTCAAAAGTCAGGTAAATGTGTGTGCAAGTCTAACATTTTTCTAATTACCTGATCTGGATTAAAATCCAATATTTATTGTGAAGTTTAATAAGTGTGTGTGAAAATCATCAGCCCTACGCCGGTATAGAGGCTGGATGATGACGGATTCATCGGGCTAAGGGGCCATACTTGAAATCAAACATGCTCCAGCAGGAGCACATACGATAGAATCTTGAACATTGAGGAACTCGGCTTCCGGGCATGGTGATGGACTCTACGATGTCTAAAATTAATTACCTGACCTGGCGAAGTTGTTACCGAAAGGAGACAGAAATCCAATAAACCCAAAAGAAGAAGAAGAATTGAATAAGGATGGACTTAATAACTGTTTCACAAACACTTTTGAGTGAGAGGAGACAAGGATCTGTCCGTACCCTATTATAAGATGACAAAAATGTTAGTTTGCATCGAGGTACCCTAGCGTGGACGGATCACGAGGCAGGGCGATGCTCAGAGATGCAGGATCCCGTCCTCTTTCAAAGACTCCTCCGCGTTGACCTGCGTCAGGTCCACGATCTCGTCCTGGTCGTACTTGTCCTCGGGGTCAGAGCCGGCCGTCGTGTTAGACTGGTGGGAGCCGCTCGACATGTGTGAGCTCCTGCCGAAGCTGCCTGAAATATTCGAATGGGATCGTTTTATTATTCAATTTTTCTACTCACATAACCAAAATGGTACCACGATAAATGATCAATTAATCACGGATTGACGATCTATGATTTATTCGAAATATTAAACACATTAAGGACAATTCTCTGACCATGGATATTCTGAATGAGACCATAAAACCAGTAGCAGAAACTAGAGTTCCTGAATGTACTTGACACTGCTGTTTTGACGTTTTTTGTATATTAACAAAAAACGTCAAAACAGCAGTGTTTATACATATACAGAGGTGTGCACAAAAAACGACTAGAGCTGTAACTTCTGAATCATTCGAGATCGAAATTTGAAATTTGGTGGGTAGCAACCATACCATATTGTTCATTTATTGACGAAAAAAAAATTATTCCATCATTTCCGGTCTAACCGGAAGTGACCCCAACTTCTGATTTTCAAATGGAACCCCCTGTATATTTTTCCATTTTTATATTCAGGGTATCATTTTACATACACCAGTAGTTTTTCCGGATCATTTTGTGTGAAACAGAAAGAACAACAGAATGAACTCCACATCAATCTTTATTATTTTCAGTAGCATAGAAAGAGGGGCGATAAAAAATTAATTACAACAAATTGACCCCCATTTTGTGCAATGCATTGCTGACACCTTCTAGCTACACTAAAAGTTGCGTTGTGTAAAAATGTTTGGGGTATATTGCGGCAAGCCTCTGAATATTCGATGCCTAAGGATTGCTATATTCTCTGGCGGAAATAGATAAACTTGATCCTTCAAGTAACCCCAAAGGAAGAAATCCATGACTGTCAAATCTGGACTGCGAGCTGGTCACCGTATCGGTCCATTTGTTCCTATCCACCTTTCTCCAGTGTATGTATTCAAATAAGTCACATTCAAATGAAAATGACTTCATAACAATTGGCGAGGGGAAGTTGGTCCAGAAAATTTTCAATATAACCAGTAAGCAATTCAAAATCCTTATACTGGTCTAAAGAACCGTCGATGAAAAACGGGCCTACCAACATATCATCAAGAATTCCGCACCATACATTAAAGCAAAATCTTGTTTGGAAGCTGATTCCTACATTACAATGGGGATTTTCTTGTGACCAACATCTGTAATTTCGTCTATTGAAGATGCCATTTCGCCCGAATGTGCATTCATCTGACCACATTATTTTTCTATAAAATGCAGGATCTTGATTAAACCTATTCAAAAAAATATTGCAAAAATGTGTCCTACGTTCTCTGTCATTATCGTGCTCCAAGGCGTGTATTTTGCGGGGAACGTGTGGCGTGTACTTATGTTTTTTCAAAATAGAAAGAACTTTTCTTCGTGACGTACTAAAATCATTTGCAATCTTAATTGTACTGTACATGTCCTGGGCGTTTCTTGTACACTGAGTAAAACATTCAATTCCAAATCTGCATCAAACTCTCGCTGTTGTTTCTTTGGTTTTTTGAAACTACCAAATTGACGTAGATTAGCTTCCAATCTGGTGAATTTCTGATGGCTAGGATGATTTCTATTCGGATATCTGTTTCTATAAACGCACGAGCAGCATCGTACGAATTTTTCAAACATTCAAAATAAACTTGTAACATATCGATTAACTCATTATTATTCATGTTTATGAAATAATAGTAGATTATACCACGAGTCAATAATGATAGCTATTATTCTCGAGGATTTTTTACGAACCGAGCCGCGTTAGCGGCGAGGGAGTAACATTCCGAGAGAATAATAGCCATTATTGCGAGTAGTATACTCTACTTTATTTGCGACTAATATATATACTTGTGGTTTTTGAAGTATAATGCCATATATTAATCCCGCAGGGAATAATGGCGAGGGATTAATAGTCTTTATTCCCTGCGGGATTAATATATGGCATTATACTTCAAAAACCACAAGTATAATATATTAGTCGTGAATAAAAAATATCATCACCCGTATTGAAACTTATTATTGGATGTTACTGTCACATTGAAATTGACTTACAAGGCTACCTATAGATCTTGATTACTATTACCAATTAATGGGCAATGTTCGGTCCGGTCTAACCGGAAGTGATGGAATAATTTTTTTTTCGTCAATAAATGAAAAATATAATATAGTTGCTACACACCAAATTTCAAATTTCGATCTCGAATGATTCAGAAGTTACAGCTCTAGCCGTTTTTTGTGCACTTCTCTGTATATACACTATACTCTAGCAGAAACTAGTGATCTTGGAGTATTAGTAGACAATCAACTCAAGTTCCAGAGACATCTCATATCAGTCAAGAAGAAAGCAATGGGCGTGTACACCTTGGTAGAACTTTTATCTCAAACCATGTTTATAATGATCCTTTCATACATAAATAATGATTGAGGACATTATTCGATCGAAAAATTAACTGGAATGTTTTATTTTTGGACATAAATAATAGTACCTTCTGAAAACGGACCCTCTTATGACGTAGAAACCTCATATCTCGCCATAGTTAAAAGAAAATACCAAACGCCCGACGGAGACTGTGGCAACTGATATATTAATTCTTTCAACTGTGATCTAGCGCTAATTCACTCTGTCAGAAATCATGTATCATTCATCTCTGTCTGGAATAGTCTTGTTTCAGTATTAGGGTTTTGACGTCACATCATCGCCTCGTTTTCAGAGGTCCGAAAAATCGGGGATTTCAATAATTTTTTATAAAACGTAGGGAGCTCACAGCAAGAAACGGTTTGCGGTGGTGAGCTAGTTCAAGTGAGTTGTATCGAATTATGAAATAAAAATTTTTCGTGATACAAGCCCATTGGAAAATTCAATATGGCGGGTCCAATATGGCGGACGAGTTCAAGGTATTCATAATTATGTTCCGATTCTATTCAAAATCGGTATGTGGGGGTTTGTGAGGTCGGAGATCATTATGCTTTCCTCAAAATTAGAAAATTCTAGATGGCTGATCCAATACGGTGAACGAGTTTTGTAATTATGATCTAATTCTTTTCAAAATTGGTATCTGAAGATTCATATTGCACAATTAGTTTCAACCATCGAAGTGGAAAAAAAGTTTGAAGGAGAAAGAATATTATCTAAAGTGATGGTGGGTGTAAAGTTATTCAAAAGAAATTTGTGTCAAATGTGTGTACTTGCATATTTGTTAATATTTGACCTTCATTTGACATCTATTTGTAGTGTATGTCTTTGATGATTGAAAAATTGAATGACCGTCAAGACATGTAGTTGTAAATGCCTATATCCCAGACAGGACCAAGAAAAATATGAAATTTGGAAAGTTTTCATGAAATATCTGATAAATAGTGGTATTTTTCAGACAGAAAAAAGTGGTTAACAAGAGAGAAATCCTGAAAAAAACCTTCTTACACTAAGTGCGAAATTATCAGTTATTTTCAAGTGGTAAATGATGAATCTAGTATCTGAATCAAGAATCCTAACCAAAAATAAAAGGAATATCAGAAGAATGAATAACCTGTAAGGTTGAAATCATAAACAATCAAATACATCATTATTATTCCCAATCCACAAATGAATTACCGAAAATAACAATAACAGTGCATATACAAATGTACCAAAAAAACTGCCGTCATCTTCAAAATTTCCAATGTATTTGAATTACATTCAATCAGCCAGTCAACATCAAGCACAAAGTTCAACAGATATACAGGATGGATAATGGAGTATCCAACTGCTAAAACTGTTTAATGCTCAGTCAGTAGGGAAAGATGTGAAAAATTATTTGCAGCATTTGTGGCAATAAATTTAACATATACCATTCCAAATTCTGAATATTTTCTTCTCCTATGATCATGAACATCAAAGAATATGCAATAAATGGGTATTTTATTCTCAACTGTTATGATCCAGCAAATAATATGTCACAAAAATTTATAGGAAAAGTTGCCAAAAGTAGCTATAAACAACAATAAAAAATTATAGAATTCCAACAAGTCCCAAATCATATTCAAATGTGGCATTCACCTTACCTTTCCATTTTTTTTTTCAACTTTTAGATTCCAAGGAGATGGTTATCCAGCAAATAACTAACTAATGAAAATTGAAAGTTGAATGATGAAATTCCAGTTGAAATTATTGAGTTGAATAAAACTCATATGAACAACTGCAAATATGAAATAATTTGAAATAATATCCCATGCAAACAACATTCTGTATTTGCTGCTAATTATAGCTTCACTACTCATACCTCTTCTAGGTGGACCCACTGTCCTCTGGTTGGCAGGTTTGACAGTTATGATCAGATTGGAGCTGTTGGCCACCATCATGTCTGTGACTTGGTCCAGGGTTTTTCCAGCCACTTCTATGCCATTCACTTCCAGGACTTCATCATTGACAGCTAGAAGACCTGTGGATTCTGCTAAACCCCCAGGAACCAGGCGAGAAATGAATATGCCTGGGATCTTTTCAAGACCTAAGAAAATTCAAATTATTTGATATGAGTTCAAGTTCACATTCAAATTTAGAATTATTTATTCTTCAATTATTGATAATATGTTTCACTTCTATCCCAATTCATCAACATTATAAAACTGCTTTCACATTATTCACACTGATTTGTATTTACCATTTTGGGTCACTTTAACGCTTGTTCCATCTCTTATATAAAACCCCAAGGGCTTATCAGATCCATGTTTGAGCAGTCTTACTCTTCTACAAGTCTCTGGTACTATATCTACATCTATGATGGCTGAAACTTGTCTAAAGTCATGAGGATTAGAGATTGGAAGAGTTTTGGCTTTTGTAGGGGTACCCCCTAGTATAGTTGAAATGAGATTCCTTGGTTTCAATGTCCCATACCCATTCAAATCCTCTAGACTATTTCCTTTTCTTTGTATTATAACCCTCAGTAATGGTTTGGCATTAACAAGTGCCCTTCTCAAATTATCATCATTGTTGATTGGTAGAAGGTCTTGATCACTAGGGTCAATGTAGGAAACGAGGAAGGGTATGTCTTTCAAGCTGTGCAACCTTTCAACAAGTGTACTAAATTCTTCAAATGTATGCTGTGAGTTTCTTTCTAGGCTGAATCTTCTAAATTCTGCATCAAACTGAAATAGCGGTGTATTATTTTCCATTATAATACATATTATTGGTATTTTGTATGCACTATTAACGATATAGCAATGTAGTTTCCAATTAAAAATCCATATGAATGATTCATGCACCATTTCCTAAAGAAGGATTAAGGAATGTACATGCATTACCTTTTTTGAAAAGACAATAGTGGACTGAGAAATTATATAGCCGCATGAATATATACCTTATTCACCTATGAATGGAATGCTTTGAAGAATATGAAAATATATTGAATGTCCACAATACTCACTTTGCTTTTGACTTCTACTCTACTTGTGTCTATAGAAGACTTCATCACAATTTTGTTCTTGGACATTTTTCCACATTTGATAATAAACACTATAAATTTGGGGTAAACTAATTAAACCTTTCATAAAACTGTAAAGGGACGTTAAAAGTTTAAAATTAAAGAAAAATAATTGAAGAGTTTGTAAAAACAACACTATAATTATTTGCGTTTATACTTCATCCTGCCAAAAAACAACCCAAATGCCAAAACCCAAAACACAAAGTTGTTTCGTTCGTTCGTCGTAGACTGGAAACAAACATGAAACATACTACATAGTACATGGTTGTCAAAAGACTGCTTTTTTGTTTCTTTTCTACTCATGAAATTCAACAAGATAACAATATAAAACAAATTTTCAATAACAACACTGTAGTTCCTGTCAATTTCTTCTTTTTTTTAGGGACCTAGCACCTTGGCTACTTGTACAACTGCGAATCATGTTCAAAACTTACATTACCCAAATTTTAGAGCGTTGAACGGAATCGGAAGTAGAGGAAAATTGAAGAAAGAAAAGACAAAGATGGACGTTACAACAGTACTTTTTAATATTCCAAATTTGTTGGAATTTTCTTTCCTCGTTTCTATAAAATCTGGAATAATGAATGTACCACCTCTTTGATTAACCTACAGTTTTACTTTTATTTTTATTACTTTTCTTAATAAAAAATAAACGAGTGCAGAGAACTATGTTCATCTATGAAAAAAATTTAAATGCACATCAGCACATCAAAGGCAGTCAACAAGTCATACAGCAAAATAACAAAAATCAAGAATTGTGCTTTAATGAAAGCTAAAGTGTAAAGGATGCCGACCAATCGGCAAACTATACTTTTTCTGTAGACTGTCGATCATTCAGGGTACCACAGCCGTCTGCCGTCTTCAACTCAATTGAAGACGGCTGTGAGGGTACGATTTGGTTAAATTCATCAAAATCAAAACAAGCTGTTCTGCCAACGCAAGGTTGATAGAACCAGAGATTATCTGATGTGGATAGAACCAAGAACCAGAACCACGTAGAAAATTGCCACTGCCACAGCCGTCTCCAATTGTTGAAGACGGCTGTGCCAGAGAGCTGTGCCACTGCTGTAATGACGTTTTTCTAATTTTGACATGTAATGTGACACTTTTCAAAACTGACGGAAGTTTTGAAACGTCTTACTTTACGTAACCAGTTGCGTAAAGTAAAATTTTACATAACTGGTGATGTAATGTTCATTTCATTCATTCATTTCACACAACAAGAGTCGGCAGAACTCATGTAAAACTGGTCATTATTTTTGTTCATGCGAAATGTTTCGTCAAAATTAGAAAAAATATTGTACGTGACACGTTAGGAAACGCCATTTTGTGTAACTCTGTGATGTTGCGGGATCTCGCTTCGCTCGTCCCGCAAAATCCCATCGTTACACAAAACAACGCGTTTCCTAACTGATTACGTAAATATCTATTTTGTGATTATAGGAGTCTAATAGGCCTTTTCATCTAGACATATTTCTAAGACGCATGCGCTCGTTTTTAGATCCAAAAATCTATTGGGTAATGCGAAGGTAAGGTCTCATTGGCTATAGTTTCAACACAAAATGCTGATTGGTCATTTCGAATATGGCGGTAATATTCACGTTCTGTCGAATGTCAACAGTTTCAACCACCATGGACATTCGTCATTGAGAAACAACAATAGCAACATAGTATTTTTGTTTTCATATTCCTGGTGTGTATTAATTGTATCGCAATAATTTAATTCCAAAAAAACGTTACTCATTCGTTACTGAGGATTGTGGTACTGTGGTGTAAGTGATTCGGAGAAAATGGCCGCCAATGTCGTTGGATACGAGATGTAAACAGATATAGTAATTTTCCAGGCCTATTGCGATAGAAAATAGCACGTCGCTCTACCTGAAGGCAACAACTTGAATCACTTCAGAGGGGCTTGTTTTGATGTGCCCAATAATCACCAGCAAAATACAAATGTGAACCAATGAAAAGAAAGTAGAAAGCTATCATAAATTCCGCTTATTTTCTATCGCGAATTGCTGATTTTTCCCAGGAATATTCGAAGAGAAAAATAGCCATTATTACAAGTAGTATACACTACTTTATTCACGACTAATATTCCTGTAAAATTTAATATAAGGAATAATAAGATGATGATTATCATTATTATTATTATAAAAAAATACAATTATAAAACCACTGGTACACATTCTGATCTTGATATTAAAATCGCAAAATTGAGCATATGTCATGAAAATACATTAATAAAAACGTAAATAAAACTACAAATCAAACATATTCGTATTAGGCAACACCCTAAGAGGCGTATTGACCCTAGCCACCTTTGGAGTTATGCAAAGCCTCTTAGGCGATCTCACTACAGAAATAGCCCTCTTAATGTGTGGCACAGCACTAGGAGTCCAAACCCCCTTCTCCTCCAAATTGTTCTCCTTATTGTGATCATTATCCTCGCTGATTTCTATGAAACGATGTCCATCGAAATTGTACAGTCTCTGCTTCAAAATGGGACGCCTGGGGGTAACATTGACATTACGTCTAAGAGCTCTCCTCTCTCTAGACCTAGACCTATTTCCTGGAGATTTATCTCCGATGGAAGGCGACGTGGAATGCTTCGACTGGATAGAAACACGAGTTCTAGCATCGACTTGTAGAGAAGGGCTGAAAATATTTGTGTTTATCAGAATGTTGCTCTGGATTGGGGAGGATATGCTACGGGTCAAGGTGCTAGGTTTGCAGCTGTTTTTAATATGGTCAAATGAAGGATTCCTTGCGACTTTCGGAGGTCGCTCGCCCTCCCTGGACCTCCTTCGAATAGTCCCGATTTTTCTAGCGCTGGGCGAGCGGATCATCTTCTGGTCCGAATTCCTTATTCTGAGCTCCCTGCTGAGTCTTCTCGCCAGCTGGTCAGTCCCCGGGCTCATCTGCTCAGCCTGCCCCAGAGTTTTCTCGTAGGCAGATTGTATGTCATGGATTATGTTTACTTCATTGTGCACCACAGTGGACTGGGCGTTTTCTATTTCCAGGGACAATCTTTTTTCGATGGCCGACACGCGGCTTTTGATTTCTTCATACTCCGTTTTCGAAACCCTTACGTAATCAGCCTTGGGGCTGTTTGAAGTGATGTTCTCATTGGGATGGTAGATGAATGATTCTCTCTTCTTTCTCTTAAATGTCGTGGCAGACGTTATGGCTGACCATCTGCGTTCTAAAATGTTCTTTTTCGGCGGGGCGGGTTCTTCATGGCACCTTAGTTTGGTGAACTTATCCACATTTTGGGGTATAGATTGTGTCAAAATAAGATCTGGTGGATGCTCAGGTTCAGTTCGCGTGCTCACCATTTTTTTGAGGCCATTGAATATCCCTGGAAGAATTCCTATTTAGTCCAATAGAATTTGGATATTTTGATACAAAATGATTTCATCCTAAGATTTTTATTATTCATTTTATTTATTTATTTCAATAGTTACACCATTTTTATAAAAGAAATAATAACAAAAGATGAATAATAGGAGCAATGAAAATTACACTCATAGAAAAATAGCACTTAAGTTATACTTATTACATTAACTAGGTTTTCATAATTATTTTCACAACATTAGTTTTCAATTTACTTAGACTGCCACGGAATAGGTCACAATGATTTTGAAGAACAACAAAATCCCTTTGATGCCTTGAAACATGGTTATGGTTAATTGTTTGAGTGAAAGGTAAATGAAAATAAAGGAGTATTTCTTGATCTGGCCGACCTATTGAATCTAATCAAACTAAGTAGATCTGGAGAATTAATAAGGCCATTGACCAATTTATATAGGAAACACATATCCAACACTAATCTACAATTTTCTAAAGTTGGGAGATTAAGTTCCATTAAGATATCTGGGTAGTTCATATGAGCAACATGATTCATTGTAGTTTTAAGCATATAGGTATTGGTGCCCTGAATAAAGTCTCAATAGACCTGGTAGTAGTAGGCTATGCCAGACACGTTGCAGCAATTTGAAGGTCGAAAATCTTGGTCTGAAATTTTCGCGATTTTTTCGATTCCACACAGCATTTTCAAAAATATATTCATAATTGATTTGTGATTCTTTACCAATACCAGTGGATATTGATACTTACTTGTCAAGGAGCCACTTCTTCTCCTTTTAACTTTATCTGCATTTTCCAAGTCCCCAGCCTTCAGATTGCTGATTTGTTCAAGAATGAAGTCAGGTATCAATCCAATATTATTAGAATTATCTATCATGAACTGAAAAATATGCCGAGAAACACACATTGGAAAGTTATAATACTAGTACAATGATGGAAGTAAGATATGGTGCGCGTATTCGGCCATTATTACGTATTGAAAATTTCAGAAAAATCACTCGACCGCCTACTATGATTTCTCTACGTCACAACGAGCGAGATGGTGATGCTGCTATTGCTGCTGTGACGAGTGGAAATAAAATGGCAAATGGCATTTTAGGTACGCGGAACATATGTAACAGTGGGATTATTTAACTCTGGATTCGAAAAATCTGCGGCAATTTCAAAACTGACAGATGTCATAATTGTGCAATGTCGCCATCTATTAGATGATCGACGGAAGCATTGCTCTCGCTGTTCTCGAGAGGTCGAGTAAAATTTCTGAAACAAGAGCGCATCAGTAAAATTACACCATCTTACTTCCATCATTACTAGTACTAACATGAAAATGTAAATTTGTAAATAAATATACAGTTCAATATTATAGTTATTCCACACAAGTACTTTCTTAGTTATAGCTTGAATACTCCATGTTATAATGAATAAGTAGGCACCTTAAATAATTGTTCATAGATAGATAGATAGTAGTTTATTTTTGTTCCAATATTACCCCTATTGGCCTAGAATAGGTCAAGTTAAAAAAATATGAGATAACAAATTTTACAAGTATTTTTTATATTGTCTTTTATTCTGTACATTCAGTTTTTGAGTTTTGCATTATAACACTGAGGATATTTGAAAAAAATCCAACCAGGCTTTAAGAATTCTCAAATACCTTTTTTCAAACATTTATTATTCAACACCTGAATCTTGGACATCTATACTAATATTATGAAGGGAATATTTGATTGTTTGTTAGTTTGTATGTATTGAATAGGCCAGAAACAACTGGATCGATTTGGCTGAAAATTGGTGGGGAGGTAGCTTAGAACCAGAAGAAGGTTATAAGATACTTTTTCTCCCGGTACCATGAGGAAATTCAAGATGGCGGAACCAATATGGCGGACAAGTTTTGTAATTATAATCCGATTCTTTCCTAAATTGGTACCTAGTGGTTTTCGTGATCAGGGATTATGATTCCTTAGTCAAAATAATTAAGAATTCCAAGATGGCGAATTTTGTAATTAGGATCCGATTTTCGGGGTCGGAGATTATGATTCTTTCGTCAAAATTAGGAAATTCAAGATGGCGGACCCAATATGGCGGACGAGTATTGTAATTATGATGCAACTCTCTTCAAAATTGTTATCTGGGTGTTTTCAGGGTCGGAGATTATGATTCTTTTGTCAAATTTTGGAAATGGCGGGATTTGGAAATTCAAGACGGTGGAACAAATATACCAGACGATTTTCGTAACTATATACCAATTCTATTCAAAATTTGTAAGTGGGCGTTTTTGGGATCAAAATTTATGATTGTCAAAATTAGGGAATTCAAGATGGTAGATCCAATATTGTGGACTAGTTTTGTAATAATTATGAAATTATGTTCCAATACTATTCAAAATTTTCATCTGGGGTTTTAGGAGTTGGATATTATGATTCTTTCCTCAAAATTGGAAATTTAAGTGAACTAAAAAGAAGTTGAAATGAATGGTAGTTTGAAAAACTAAAGAAACATGCTTTTATAGATAGGGAAACTAAAAATAAGTAGAAAATAAAATAATGATAGAATCATGATGAATATTGAACTGAAAAAATATATTATAATGCACAATGTTTGCAAGGTGTTCTAATTGTATTATAATATGACAATAGGGTCACCAGAAGCTAGTGTCCTATTCAGGACATTAAATTAACTGAGTTTGTCACAATTTCTTGTAATTTCTCAGCCCAAAATTTTGACTCTCTATTTTACAATGAAAAAACATATCAACAATTCAAAACTCTTTGAAAAAATCTAACAAAGTCAATATAAATAGAAATTGAAATGTACATGAAACCCTCAAATTTGTATTTTGCTTACCTTGATGATATCACAAGTTTTCTTCACCATGAGCTTATTTTTTGGTGCAATTTTCTCATTTACTGGAAAAATGTTGGGCCCTAGAATTACTGAAATATTGTAGGAATTCATTTTGTTGTACTTTGAGTAGCTTGCTACTTCATTCAGGAACTGAAAATCAAAAAATCATTTTCAATACAATATGATTCAGTCTACTTCTTCCAATTTACCTGCATCAAATAGGATAAAATATTGAGATGTTCAGTAGGTAAAAGTAAACATGACAGAAGTAATGCTTCAGTCTTTTTTTCTATTAAAGAGCATCGTAGGTATAGTTCATGAAATGAATAAGGTATAAGAGGTTCTGGCAACTCCCTAAGGAAGCATTTTAGAATAACAGCAACATCAATAACATGGTGTTCTATTCCAAGCATACATCCTCTGTCCAAAGATAACTAAAATATAAGATAATTAAACATTCTGTGTGTCAGTTAAGAGACAACAAAAACCTTAATCTCATTTTGTCTGGACTTTGAGCCTTCCTTTCGAAATATACCCTCAGTTTCAACTTTTGTCAGTATATATGAACACATTTCATGCAGTCTTTTTGGAACAATTAATTGTTGTCCATTTTTCAGAGTAACAGTCTCATTTTCTAAGTTTTGTATTGGGACTTTGAAAAGCTTCTTGGATTTGATAGCCTTTTAGAAATAACAGTCATTAGACTACAAAAATACATTATTGATAATAGATTGTACCTGTGGGTGTCTAGTCGTTTTTCCTCTATACTTAATTCCATATTTTCGTAGGTGTTTGATTGCTACATTTCTAATTTCTTCTTTCCTATGTACATCAGTCATAAACATATTGACTTAAATTAAAAACTTAAACTATTTAATTACAAAAAAAAAACATTATTGAAAATCAAAAATGAAAACGGTTGGTTGCCAGTCAACGTCATCGTCTTCCACATGAATGACATATGAGTTATATGACGTATCAGCACTCGGTCGTTTGTGCTTGCTGATGCTGATATTAATAATATGACTTTCTCTGTTTACATCATGCCATGAACAGAGTAAAACAGAGACAACTATGGAAAAAAATCAAGTTAAGCAATACAAACGGACAGGCCTTATTGTATTTAGACACTGATAACTAGGGTCGTATTCGTACAAGGTAAGATAACAACAATAAAATGTATTACATGGATTCAAAATACAGAAGACGATTTTGACAACTGTGAAAAATGTAAATATAACCTATTTCTATTTCCTCTTTTGAGGAAAATTGAAACAACACGAATAATAGGCTGTTCAAGTTCTCCAGAGCAAAATATGGAAACTGAAGAACACTTATTATCCTTAAAAGGTTGGGATCAATTATTGAAACATAATTATTTCAACTAGATATTCGATTTTTAGTGATGCGCTTGACTCGCCCTACTTTGGCAAGCCCATTCCCAGTGACCTGTGATAGCAGAGATTTACCTGGAAACCTACTGAACAATGCATTACAACAAGATCCTACAACGGTGGAAGGAACCGAGACACTGTGTTCTGGCCAGTTTCTACTGCTGCCTCAGACACCAGTCAACATTTATCTTGGAGAAACATTTTCAAGTTATATCTGTGTCTATACAGAAACTTCAGATGTGGTTAGCAATGTGACAGTCAAAGTTGATTTGCAGACAAGCTCCCAGAGGCTTCCACTATCTGCAAACCCACCAACTCCTCAGTTGCTACCAGATAAAACTGTTGATATAGTCATACATCATGAAGTTAAAGAAATTGGAACACATATGTGTGTTTTCTCATTAGTTTTCTGATTATTTTTAAAGTACTCAGTTTTCAGATTAGTGTGTGAAGTTACATACCAAACCCCCAATGGTGCTGCCATGTCATTCAGGAAGTTTTTCAAAATCATGGTTCTCAAACCTTTAGATGTTAAAACAAAGTTTTGTAATGCAGAAAATGATGATGTTTATTTGGAAGCCCAAGTTCAAAATATTACAGCAGGGCCTATATGTTTGGAAAAAGTTGCTCTAGATGCCTCACACCTTTTTAATGGTATTATTCACAATGTATGAGTCATAAATGTCTAATCCAGAAATTGTTTTCAAGTTTTGCCCTTGAATGGGATGCCAGATGGTGACAGTGTTTTTGGTAAAACTATAATTCTTCAACCCCAGGCTGTATGTCAATTTTTGTATTGTCTTGAACCAAATGAGAAGTTGTCTTCTGATTTAAAATTACTTAGTGGAGCTACTAATATTGGAAAACTAGACATTGTATGGAGGTCCAATCTTGGTGAACGTGGTAGATTACAGACAAGTCAGTTACAGAGAATGGTAACCTTTCTTTCAATCTTGTTCTTTTCCTCACAAGAATCCATAGCAAGTATGTACTCTCATCTATTTTTTCAATTGCAGAGTCCTGATTATGGAGACATCAGAATGACAATCACAGAATTGCCGAATTTTGTTGTACTAGAAGATTTATTCACTTTCAAGTGCAATTTGATCAACAATTGGTGAGCTGCAGGATATAAAGCATTATAGGAATCCAAGATATTTTTTTTTTTTTTTCAGTGAACGTACAGTAGAATTGATGATATACTTGGAAAATGTAGAAGGAATTGCATGGTGTGACATATCAGGAAGAAAACTGGAACCTTTACCACCAATGACACAAAAAACTTTAGAATTCAAATGTATTCCCTTGATACCAGGACTGAGAACAATATCAGGTGTCAAACTCTTAGATACTTTCCTCAAAAGAACCTATACATATGATGAACTAGGGCAAATATTTGTTGTATTGAATGATGAAAATTGCAAAAGTATATAAAGCTGTTGAAACAAAATATATTTAATCATACAGAAACTGGTTTGACTGAACATATTCTACATATTTAAAAATAAAAAATATAAACTCTAAATTGGTAATAAAAACAAACTAAACATAGTAAATTCTAAATTTGTCAACAACTTAAAACTAGAGTGAAGAAGTGTTCAAATTTGACCACTAGATTGAACATCCAAAAATAAAAATGATGCAAATCACAAAATATTCAAACAACACAGAGGAACTCTACAATGATAAAAATGAACTAGATTCCACATTCAAAAATAGCAAACTGAATATATCATTATAAAAATCAGGATAATAATCACAAGCTCTTGAACAATCAGGTGTAAAATTTATCTCCAAAATCTTGGGTTGTATTTTCTTGTCATCTGTCCATTCCAGCATAATATCTGCTGCATAAAGAGCCCTAGACTGTGGGCTCTCGGCAATACCACAAGGAGGGTTTGCCATTGTAGCACATTCTAGTATCTCCCTGAGCATTTCCAAAATAGATTTCTCCACCCCTTTCCACTCATTTTCTGGAAACTGTTTCTTCCATTTCAGTTTGAATGTATCACAATTCATGTGCTTCAATTGAGCACCATCAGTGTAGTTCATCACTGTGAAGTGCTTTTCATATACCTCAAAGTCATTCAGTTCAAAAGGTTGATTTGAAAACCTTAAAAAGAATTTCTTATACACATAAGCTTGAAGAGGCTTCACACTCTTCAATAACAAGACATATCTGATATCAAATTTAACTTTGCCATTACACTCAGGCCTGTAGAACAGCACAGGATTTGTGATATATTTCTGTACAATTTTGGGTCCTGTAGGAATAAGTCTACATATATAATCCAAATTGTTTGTGATATGGATATCTAGACCTCTAGCTAAGTTATATGGCTTGACTATCCAGTAGTTTTCTAAGCCTTCTCTATCTCGTTTTTGAAAGCAGCTGATGAAATTTGGAGCTTCAGATAGTAGATTATATGTGATGGGAAGCCAGTTTACATTCTGTTTTCTGCGGCAAGTAGCACTCAAGAGATCCTTGACTGTCAAAACATATTCAAATGGGAATTGGTTTATAAATTGATGGGGACTGTCACTGAGTTTTTGAAAATCTTTGAAATGTTGTGTGTACCAGAGAATGTCAGCTTCATTTCTGCTTTCTACCACATCAAATCTATTTGAAGTCAAGTGTGTTTTTATTAAATTGTATTGTGAGAAGACTTTCAAAACATCTTTCCCTGATCTGACAGAACTATTATGCAAATTTTTCAAGTCAGGCAAACTTTCTTCAACATGCCCACTCAAATAGTATTCTTCATCTGGTATAGGTGGATTAGTGTCGAAGTCTTCAAATGATTTAGGAGACCAAGGTAAGAGTTGAGTTGGACGCTTCTCTGGTGCTATACCTTCCCCAAAATCTCTGTAAAGTAAATCTTCCAATTGTATATCCTCAATTGGAAACAGTAATGAATAAGTGATCTGGTCCTTGATGTAAAAGAATGGTACAATTCTGCAATTTGGATGGCCATCATGGGAGACAGAACTACCAACTTCATCCATGACATACCAAACTGGTAGCCTATCTTCAACATTTTCAGCACTACTAACAGAATAATAATTATTGATTTTCCACATGTTATTGAAAATGTCATCTACTAATTGTTCTGTTGAAATATTGATATCTAGTCCAAGCATATCACCCAATCTAACTCTCAATCCATCATGTTCAAAAAGTTGTTGCTTAGCATGTTCAATTTTGTAAGTCCAGGCATGGTCAATAAGATAAATATGTTGGGAATCATCACATTCCATAAAACACAAAGATTGGAGTGCCCAATGGGGTTCATGAATTTCTCTTTCTTCATATTCAAGTTCAAGCCTGACAATCTGAAATGAACTACCTGCATCAAAAGTTTTGTTTATCAATTTGCTGTTCAACGAATCCCAGAAATGTTCTGGAACCCCTGAGGATATAAGCTGGTATCTGTGGAGTTCCAGAAAAGAGTCCAATTCCAAGGATTCCTGTTGATCTTGTATGTGGCCCATTTTTAAGAGTAGTTCTTTGGATCTGGGTACCTACTTATCTCAATGATACCATGAATTCTCTGAGTTTGGCAAATTTCATGCAAAATTCGAAATTAATCTTACCACTTGAGGTTTTTTTTATCAGCTTTGGTTTGGACAGTTGTGTTTCACGCGGTGCGCCAATTTCGGTGCATTTATTTTTCGTTGAATCCTCTTGTCAGTCTTGTCCCAATAGAACAACTTTTTCCTAGACCCTTGCTTTCGAAGCTCGATGGCTCAACAAATGAATATAATACATTCTTCTTTTTTTTGTACAAAAGCAACTTGACACAACGAAAATGTGAAATATAAAATCAATCAAGGCACTCTAATCAGTCTAATCTGTCAGATTGGTCTGAAATTTCTCACTTTAGCTTTTGCAGAGCAGTCGATTCGAGTTTCGAGTGATTCGATATTCGTAGTTATAAGCATCTCAGATATTCGATTCAGTCGTAGTGTATGTGTCGTCTCGTGGTGTAGTTTCCCGTGAAAGGTGTGGAAATCCCGGAAACCCCAATTCCAAATTTTTAAAATTCTTACGACATCCCACCTTCTCGTGGACGTTCATTTTTTTCGTAACAGGTATCAGAAACGTGGATAGATATCCACCTTGGGTATCAGTATTTAATTATTTTTGAAATGTCTGCGACCGCGAACGGCGTGAATGGATCTCCAAGGAAGAAGTTGTGCACGGATCAACGCGAGTCCAAGGCGACCGTTATATTGGGGGCCCAGTGGGGCGACGAAGGCAAGGGCAAGGTGGTCGATATGCTCGCTGTGGACCAAGATTTCGTTTGTCGGTGCCAGGTACCATTTTTTTAAATATTCCAATCGTTTATCAATGAATGGTATCAGCAGGTAGTTGGGTGCTGTTATTTTTGTTTACCTCCAAAGAAGACAATTAATTATTAATCAGAATTTGTTCCACTTCCAATATATCCTTCCAGATAGGTACCTAGTCATTGATTGATATTCTATATTTTCTTATTCTAATTATATTGTGGGAGGGGAAATAAATAGGTAAATAATTCTCATGAATATTTTTAGAATTCAAAATCATGTGATAGAACTTGTAATCATTATTATTAGGTAATGGTAAATTCTATTATACCTAACTATCTATAAAAAACTTGTTTCTTATTATATTTATAATTCCACTTGGTTTGCCAATATTAGTGTGACCTCTGGTGATATTTCCAACTGTTTTCATGAAAATGTTTCCTTACCTTACCATACTTTCACCTAAACCTAGCAATCATAATCATTTGGTTATTGAAATATGCAAGAAAAAAATTAAAGTTATGTCATTGACTTGAAAAATTGCTGACAAATTTGTTTATCTGGAATTATGTCTATTTGGCAGTTTTTATTTATACCAATATTCAATATATTTATTCAAGATATTTTGTTGTGAACACCATATAGTTAATTGACCTATAATTGGCACATAAATTTCTGCCAATTTGTTTACTTAAAATAAACCAAGATATATCTGGAGCATCTGGAGTTTGTTATGAAATAATTCATTCCATTTAAAGCCAGAATTTACCTTATTGTAACTTTATCACATCAATGCAAAAAAAGAGTCAACCACAATCCTTGGATCCTAAGGAATATTCTTGTTTCAGGGAGGGAATAATGCAGGACACACTGTAGTAATTGATGGAGTTGAATATGATTTCCACTTATTACCAAGTGGTATCATCCACCCAAAATGCAAATCTATCATAGGTAAAGGATAATCCATTCTTTGAGTACAATTAACAAAACTCATTAAACTAAAATGATATTTAGATTGAAACCAAAACTGAAACTTTTTGCCTGAAAATTTTAATTGAACCTACCTGTAGAGCTATTATAATAACTTGAAAAACAATTCCCATTTTTTTTGTGATTAACTATACACTAAGAAAAAGGATATACAGGGTGTTTCAAAAAAACTAATCCTCTTATTAGTGTAGGTAGAACATTGCAAATTAGGTTGAGTTTGCTCAGTAAAAAAATGTCGTAACGCCATCCGTTTTCAAGATACAAGGTGTTGAAAAATATTTTTTTCACACATTTTTTACGGTTATGTTGAAACTACTGGCAACATTGTGATAACATTTTATATGGATGTATTTTGAAAGCTGACACATCCCATGGATGTGTTTTTTTATCTGACACTCATAGAGGGCGCTAGTTACACGGTTCGTACGGAGTACTTTTAAACATAACTCTTTTGAGGTTAGATTTTTCACTCCAAATTTAATGTGACCTTGAACATCATTCAATTTTACACTAGAAAGTTGCTCCTGGTAAAACTTGATACTGTGTACCGTTTTCGGGATATTTCGATTTGAAAATGCTGAAGTATAACACTGATGCTAGTTGAAAGTAAGTATTATAAAAGACTGTTACCTATTTATTGATAACCACGCCAAGAGCTGCAAGAAAGGATCTCATAGCTTGACCCTCAACCTTTGGGAAGATTGATGCATTTAGAAAAAAAGGATCAAATTGTGTATTCCTGAAAACGGAGGATATTTTGGACACTTACTGTAACAAGATGATGTTTTTAGTCAAATCTAATTAAATATTTTCTGATGTGATTTTGTTTAATTGATAACTTCAGCTCAGCAGTAAAATAATGTTAATGTTTTCTTCCTTGATGAATAGATAAATCTTTTTTATAATATTTAATTCTAATACCAGAATCAGAGTTATTGCGTCAGCATTTTCAAATCGAAATATTTCGAAAACGGTACACAGTACCGAGTTTTACCAAGAGGTGGTGTGAAATTGAATGGTGTTCAAGTTCACATTGAACTTGGACTGAAAAATCTAACCTCAAAAAAGTTATGTTCAAAAATACTCGGTACGAACCGTGTAACTAGCGCCCTCTATGAGTGTCAGATATAAAAACAAATTCATGCGGTGTGTCAGCTTTCAGAACCTCGTTCAGAACACATCCATACACAATGTTGCCAGTAGTATCTTGAAAACGGATGCCGTTATGACATTTTTTCACTGAGCAAACCCAACTTATTTTGCAATGTTCTACCTACCCTAGCAAGGGGGTTAGGTTTTTTGAAACACCCTGTATTTATCTGATAACTATTTGGAGTTTGAAGACAATGAAAAATATTTTAAATGCACTTGGAAATTCAGCATAGGCATTGGCAACTACAATGCTGAATTGGGAGACATGAACTTTTGAAATATATTTGGTGAATTTATCTAACTTGCAAGGTAAAATTTGATCAGCTATTTCCGAGGCTATTTCTATATAGTCAGTTAGAGTTATTAGAAATTGATTACCATTTTTTAGAGTAGAAATGTCTGATTCAAATTTATTTTGCTGTATGTTATCTAAAAGTACTTGTAGGTATAGTTTATGCAAAGTCAGTTGGAAAAACAAATCACCACAAGCCGTCCGTCCCTTTGAAAGTTCAAAGATTGCGGCAGCGCGGCCCGACATGCGTTTGATGATCTGTTCAACTGACTTTGCAAAAACTATAAGTACATTGCCAATTTATTTAAGGAAACGGAGTTGTCATTCACCTTCCTAACATGTTCGATGAGATTGAGAAAAACGAGAAAAAAGGTCTCAAAGACTGGGGCAACAGATTGGTGATCTCAGATAGGGCGCACCTTGTCTTTGATTTCCACCAACAGGTGGACGGTCTTCAAGAACAAGAGAACAACGAGAAAGGCCAAGGTTTGGGAACAACCAAAAAAGGGATAGGCCCAACTTATTCCTCTAAAGCAACCAGAAACGGCATCAGGGTTGGAGATCTCTTAGGAGATTTCTCTCAATTCACTAAAAAGTATGTAACAGGGTGTTTATGTTTCTTTCCCTGGGTGTTTCATGTCGCAGTTGAAATTTGAAAATAACTATTGAAATTTGGAAAAACATTCCAATACCACTTCCAGTTTTTTTAGTACTAGATTCAAGAAATAGGTATATTCTCGGGTATATTGCAATGAAAAATTTAGAATTGTATATGTATTTATTTATCTTTTCTATGAAGATATTAACTGTTTTCGTTTTACTAACAATAAAACTATGTATACTTCAGTAATATTTCTTCATTTTGAGGAGGTTTCAGTTCATTTTTGCATTTTAGGTTTCTAGAGTTAGCTGATATGTACCAGAGGATGTTTCCATCTTTGAAAGTTGACGTGGATTCTGAATTGAAACGTTACAAGGACTATGCAGAAAAAATTAGGCCTCAAGTTCGAGACACAGTCTCCTATCTAGATAAAGCCTTTCGTAGTGGAAAGAGGATTTTAGTTGAAGGTGCTAATGCTGCCATGTTAGATATTGACTTTGGTAAGTAAAAAAAAAAGTTGCTCATTAAATTTGTTGATTTATTGCCTAGGAGAAATAAAAATACACTGATTTTCAAAAAATACCTGAATCACCTGGTTAATTACTTTATACAAAATACAATAGAAATAACAGTCATGATAGCTGTCTGCCCCTCATTATTTTTCCGTTATTTCCATAATTACCATACCTTAAATTTCTAAACAGTCAATTAAAGGTGTGATAAGGAATAGCCATGAAATGAAATAGAACTACATGGTGGGTTATTATTGAATCTGTACTTACATTTTGTCCTGTTTCAAATGCTATCACCCTCATATTCTAGAGTAGAATGAAATATTCTGGAGATGTTTTTGAGATTGCCCTGAAAAAAGAAACATTTTGCTAAAAAACCTACTTTTTTCTGTGACGGAAAAAAGTTTGGCATTTCATCTTTGTTGGCAGGTTATAAAATGTCACTTTTATCACATATATATACACTGTTGATGGCTTTTGTTGTGCTATAGTTCCGAAAAATGAGTCAATAATACTGTCTCCGAGAAAGAACTGCAAGTCCTTTTATCTTCCATTGGACTTCGCGGTTACGTATATTACTAAACAACCACTAAATTCGCAATTTTTTGAAATCAAATCACAGAATTAGACTGACAGAAGTGACATCAGATATTTGATTACTTCAAAAGAATGATAAAGATGCCTACAACGTAGGTTTCCCTACTGTTAAAAACTTAAAATTTCACGTCGATAATTTTCAGATTTCAAAATAATGTAATATCTTCTCAATATTGATTCGTCCTTTCTTCTGTCATAGAAAAAAATAGTGTATTATACACGGGAAAAATATTAGATTTCAGCTAAAATCTACTACTTTTTTCCCTTGTATAATAAATAACTATTGCTTCACAAAAGTGAAATTTTACGTCAACAAACAGTACTAGGTACTTCACGCCTATCCTACATAATCTCATTATTAACAGTTCTCTTACAGATTTTTGTACTGTTTTTCACTCATCTAGGTACTTATCCATATGTCACTTCCTCGAACTGCAGCGTAGGAGGGGTGTGCACAGGTTTAGGCATATCACCCCACAGAATAGGAGACGTCATTGGGGTAGTCAAGGCCTATACTACAAGGGTGGGAGACGGACCGTTCCCTACTGAACTACATGATGTAAGAATCTTTCATATCTTTTAATTTCACAGCTAGTAAAAGAATCTTGAAAAGAATACTGTTATGTTAGATCCCACTTCTGACACCAATTGTTACGTTATTCGGGTGCAGAAGCGAACACGACACTGATTTATTTCAACTAAAGAAACACTAATTTATATCGAACTTATAACTACTATTTATGTAAAACGATTTATATCACGCGGTATATGACTGTCTCTCTGACACTCGCTGCTGGACTGACTGACGCAGTTGTTCGGCCGTCTTATATATGAGATCCATTGGTAGGCTTTGGTTCGAGAACTTTCTGGAATGATCTTCCGTCTCCTTCCTTTTGTTCTAAAAGCTTCTTAGAACAATACCTCTCTCTCTAATTGTTCCATCGATTGTTTCCAGGACATTCCAGAACTTTCTGTCACGTTATTTGTCACCGCGGCATATATTGATTGTTCGGAAATATGCTGGTGCATGTGGGAATCATTGGGAGGTTGGAGAACAATTTTTTAATCGCATACAAACAAAAAATAAAACTCAAATCTATAGACTGAAATTATCATAATATAATAATATAATATCAATACCCTCATTTTCTTCATGTTTATATTATGACGTTATGGATCTTATCATCTCCTTTGTAAAATTAAAATGATAGCATTCGGTCGCGTTCGGGTATTGTGGAGCTGTTCTAGGACTGACTCTACGCGTTCGGGTTTTTCAGAATCGTCCTGGGATGGTCCTAAAACTATCCGAAATCAGTACCTACTCACAAGCATGAACCGTTTTAGGTTTATTTTTGGCCATTTGGCGCATGTTTATTTCATTTAGTTTTCGATACTGTCTGTTGTAGCTTAACGTCATAATGATATATTTTTGTTTATCCTAGTGTTTATTGCTCTTTTCAACATTTTCTCAATACTATGGAGTTAGTACATTCATTCGATAATAGTAGTTCTTCATCGTCAGGAAGCAGTGGTGAAGGGGTTCCTTGCTGAACTTGCTGGAACCTAATCTGATAATTCTCGATCTGTTAGATAAACCGAAAAATGGAGGATTATGTTGGGGAGACTTTACCATTATATTCGGATACACAATTCATTGAACATTTCAGGTGGGTGTGGGTGTTGAAATTCATGTAGGTTCAAGGGACAAAACCTATTGAAAATCTTGCTAGGAATGCTGTGATGGAATATATTCAACATTCCTCCACAGAGGGTTTCCAGAGATATTGTGAATAGACTCAAAGGAGAGTTTGAAGTTTCAGAATATTATTTGAATAAAGATACAGGTTCCAAACTTGTTTTTTTCGCAAATTTCGAATAGAGGTTATGTTCTCAGAGGTTCTCGTCTGAGTCGTCTGCCGCGTTCGGGTTTTCATAATTTGTGAACCGTTCTGAAACAGTCCTAGGATTTGAAACGATTGCGCACTAGCTCTACGCAGTCCGAGAACGATTCTTGAACAGTTCTGAAATCGGAACCCGAATGAACCTATTAAAATTAAAAATTGGCCTTAGAAAATATCTTCTCACAGGAAGCATTCGACGGGACGGCGGGGAATCCCTCGTAGACGAGGGGAATCATTTGAATGGGGGAATTACACGGGGACGAGATGACGGGGAATCCCACTTAGTCGAGATGATAGTCCACTGCCGCTGCTTGGACGTGAAGCAAATGAAAAGCGCGAAAAACACGACTCGTATGCCAAAATAATCGTGAAAAACTATTTCAATCACTTGTAAACAAATAAGAAAAGGGATCAACCATCTGAGGCGATCCATCTTACAGTGGAGTGAAGGCAATAGGCCAGGATAAAATTCATACAGTCTACTCCACCAAAACTATACTTGATTGTAAGCAAACTTACGGGGACATGTTTCGAAGCTTTAAAGCTTCATCATCAGCCTTTTTGTTACATATAGCAGCACTAAAGTGATAGAAAAACAAAGAACAATGTCAAACCCATCAACAACGATAGGTCTAAAATACTCACCTGTTCTGGAGAAAAACAGTTATGTTCATATATTTAGATTATTGAAAAATGTACGATTCAGATCAGAATTGAAAAAAGTCATCTGTTCGAAAATCGAACATCAAACGAATGGCATGACTTCATGACATCTCATTTTTCTTGTCTTTTTAAGAGTTCGGTATGAACAGATAAGACTTTTTCCAATTTTGATCTGAATCGTACCTACTATAGTTATGAAATTCAAAGTTCCCTAACAAACGGGTTTCGCAATAATTGCGGCCCCCATTTAGCTTTATTATCATTTTTCAAAACATTTTTCAATAATCTAAATATATGAACATAACTTTTTTCCTCCAGAACAAGTGAGTTTTTTAACCTATCGTTGTTGAGGGGTTTGTCTGACATTGTTCTTTGTTTTTCTCTCACTTTAGTGGTACTATGTAACATTTACGCTGATGAAGCTTCGAAACATGCCCCCATAAGTTTGCTTACAATAAAGTGTAGTTTTGGTGGAGTAGACTGTATGAATTTTGTCTTGTCCTAAAAAAAGTGAGGTTGTGTTTCACCTCCAGGGTCGATCATCTGACAGTTCTTGCACGCAACCCATTAGATTTAGAAGATTAGATTTAGAATGGGGCCTTCGGGCTATCTGCCTCCACACCGCGACCTTTTCAGATCTATTGTGTCTGCCCTCAAAATCGATTAGAGTTCTTCGGCTAACCCCGCCTTCTCTATGAGACTCCATAGGCTAGCTTTCAGATCCCCATTATCCTTCTTGTAATTTTTCTGTCAGAGCATCGGCGACTTGATGCAAGAGCGCGGCGGCGAGATCGGCGTCACCACCAAGCGGAAGCGTCGCTGCGGCTGGCTGGACCTGGTCCTTTTGCAGTACACCAACACGATCAACGGCTACACGGCGCTGTGCGTCACCAAGCTGGACATCCTGGACACTCTGCCCGAGCTCAAATTGGCCGTCGGGTACACGTTGCGAGGCAAGAAGATCGAGTATTTCCCGTCGACCGCCTCCGATTTGGCCGTAGTCGAGGTAAAATTGCTTACAAAACCGGCTGTATCCATTTCATTCGGTAGATTTTGAAGCAAAACCGGCCTAATCAAGATTTTTATAGCAAAAAAGATGACTTCACGAGGAGCTTGCAGTATTGATATGTCAGTTGACTTCTCTAGTCGAGGTAAAATCAGTCAGTGACTGTTTGATTCATTATCCACCAGATCGCGCTACTGTACTGAAATACTCTAGCAGATCTCCATTTCCCTTCATATGTCATTAGCCGAATCATACTATACCTACATAAGATATTCGAAGCTACTGTCCACTATAAATTGAATCATATTCGTAGATAAACTCCCTGGTTCTCACCAACTATAACAAAACATATTCAGAAGAAAGAGCGAGCCCTCAATAACCTAAAGAAGTTTAAAATATCTTTATAAATGAAACTTACATCAGTACAGACTAGCACGATCAACGGCTACACAGCGCTGTGCCTAACCAAACTGGACATTTCAGGTCATAAAAACGGCAGAACTTATTGTTAATCGTTTTTTCTGGGCATGGAACATCCTGGATGCAGACATACTTATGCACCGATTAAATCGTATCACTGAGTAAATTGTTTTTCCTTTATGTTTTTCCTTTATGTGTACCATACAACTACGTCGTGTATAAATGGACTTTTATAGGTTAACACCTCAGCCCATTCTCACTTTTTAATAATAATAATAATAATCCTCGAGACCGTCGGATACTCGTTGCAAGGGAAGAAGATCGAGTGGATTTCTGTCGACTGCCTCCGATTTGGCCGTAGTCGAGTTAAATTCAATGAAGTTTGATTGTTTGTCCACCAGATCGCGCTACTCTACTGAGACGTTTCAATTCGAATGTACTTAGGATTTCTACTTAACGAAATGATATTATACCACATAATGAACAGCTGCATTTAATCTCCATCATAACGTATTATAATGGCGGGCAAGAAGATGGAATCTCCCCGGAAATCAGTTCCCTAACCTCCTATTTTTTGACAGAATGCCCGAAGATACCTAATTGACAGCAATGACACAGAACGGGTCTACTTTACCAACACTACTAACCTAAAAATTCTTGAAAACAAGAATCAGACAAATGGAATATAGTTCAGCTTAATTATCTTAATTTCCCTTCTTCTGTCATCAGCTGAATCATACTCTACATAACATATTAGTCGTTACTGTCCCATATAATGAGTTGAACCTTACCCGTACCCTCCCTGATTCACATCGACTATAATAAAACACATTCAGAAGAGCGAGCCCACAATAACCTAAAAAAGTTCGAATCATCTTTTTATCGTGAACAATTCATCTGTCTGAGTAGGAAAGTCAAATCACAAATAAATGAAACTTACATCAGTACACGCTAACACGATCAACGGATACACGGCGCTGTGCCTCACCAAGCTGGACATCCTGGACACTCTGCCCGAGCTCAAATTGGCCGTCGGGTACACGTTGCGAGGCAAGAAGATCGAGTATTTCCCGTCGACCGCCTCCGATTTGGCCGTAGTCGAGGTAAAATTGCGTACAAAACCGGCTGTATCCATTTCGTTCGGTTTTTGGTATCCTATCTGCTACTGGAGTGATACGGAAACCGTTTATAAACCTGTTAAAATTACATCAGAAATGTAGATTTTGAAGCAAAACCGGCCAAATTAATGTTTTCATAGCAAAACAGATGCCTTCACGAGGATCTACTGACATGATTACGAATCGAGTAGATTGTGGAACGTAGGTTCATCATCATCAGGAGTGACAAAATTCTGTCTTATTCTTATTTATCCGTTCATACCAAGGTTCATAAAATCTAAAATACAAACCCTAGATAGACACCGTAAATATAAGAATGGGCAACGCAGTTTATTTATTTATTTCTTTATTTATAGAAAACTAACAGGCTAACCTAACTTTCACTTAGATCTAATATCAATAATCAATTATAGAACAAAAATTGAGCTGATGGGTTGGGAGGTGTATGAAGTAACTTAAAGCCTTAGAGAATACATGTATTAATTGTGATTTAAATTAATTCGACAAATCCTCCCGAAACTTGGCTAAATTAGTATCAAAAAAACAACTATTCATTCTGTCAACATACTTTTTACAAATTTGGAGAATACTGTTCATTAAAGAGTGACTTGTTATCGAAACATTCACAGTTGGGACGCAACTAAGATAGCGGTGGATATGCGCAATGCGCATCTTTTCATTAAAACGCCGCGTAATCAGACTCCGATCTTGATATTTGCTCATCAGTACAGCCCATGCCGTGCTCGAATATACAGTATGATGCAAATGTATGGAATAAATTCATTTCAAAACAAGACGACTTCCGAAAAAAATCCAAAAAGTAGAGTTCAGAACTTTTTTATCGATGTATTTTTTCAACTAGACGACCCTTCGATGTTCAATTCTCAGTAGAAGATCTCTGCAAGATTCAGTTAACCAAATGATAATCCATTTTAATTTCAATCTTCTTTTGCAAAATTTTGACTATTGGATAGACGATCAGTAGACCTTTCAAACGAGGTGTCACATGACCCCTGTTTGTATTTAAAAAAACCGTCCATTACGTCATTACTCCAACACCGGTGACGTAACATCTCTCATATGAATGTCATGAGATGAGGTTTCAAAAATTAAAACTCACGTGTTTTTGGAATTTCTTCAAATGTCGCCCATTTCTGAAATAATGAATTTATTCCATACATTTGCATCATACTGTATATAACTTGAGTTCTTCAATTTGTTTACATAAGACATACCACAGCAGGTTTTTGAAGAAACAATATTTGGAGAATTTTGACATTCATGCTTTCTAGCGACCCTTTCTTCTCTATTCTCACATAAATCTCGGTGATTTCTACCGAAACCAAACTTTTCCATCACAAAAATCGAGTGATCCATTTTTCTTTCAGGTTGAATATTTAACCATGCCAGGATGGCAACAGAGTACAGAAAATGTGAGGGAGTTCAAAGATTTGCCTGAAAATGCTAAAAACTATGTAAATAAAATAGTGGAACTTCTCAATGTGCCAGGTGAGGAATATTCCCATTCTTCCATAAAATATACCTTATAGACCAGGAGATGGTGACAGGTGAAATTCTCCCATTTAAGACACGTGTGCACTTCATAAGGAAAAGTGCCTTTCTTTTTGTGATGAATGTTCGTGTTTTCCGCGAGATTATACTGCCTGCCGTTGAAATATACGGAAGTTCAAAAAAAAAACTGAAGCGCTGATATTCAATGGCATGCAATCCGCAGCGGCCGAAAGGGCTCAAGAGGGTTACAAAAAACTGAAGACAATTTAAGGGGACTTCCATGGTTTCAAAATACTTGCCGATGTGGAGAATTGAAGGTTAAAATAATCAGAACTTTTCGGATCTTTCCAAGTGAAATTTTCTCAACAATAATCACATTTCCGTCATCCAAACGTTAGTGTATCATTAAATATTAGTTATCTTCCATTTCCACTCATGAAGCAAGGTTATCAAGTCACCAATTATAATCAAGTTAATATAAAGAGTCCTGTCGTTGAATAGAACATAATCAAAGGAACCCATGACATTAGAGTTCATTCTTAACTTTTTCGCGCAATCAGCATGTCCAAATATTTCTTGTTCTCCATAAAAAAATATCATGTTAAATTTGGAGACTTGGCAACGTTGTGCTGAATGCTGAGAACTGACAAGACCACGCCCACACATGTATTATAAGCAATAAGCCACAAACAGGAACATTTTGAGACAATTGAATTTTTATTTTTTTCATTACCAATACTCAATTGAGAATTCATTAATTATTGAATAACTAGTATTCCTGAAGTTTCCAATCATATTTCAAAACATGTAAACTATGATAATCAATAACTCGATTATTTTTCATCCAAATATGCAATTCATATATAGTTTTGAAATCAGAAAAAAGGCTGTATCGACGTGTCAGAAAATATATAAAGTGTTCCATTGAAAAATCCAAAGTTAATGTCCTTTCCGGAAAAACGAATGACCCTGTATATGAAGCAACTTCACAAAATATAATTTTGAGTCGTTTCAAACAACTTTTTAATTCAATATTTTTTCACATCTCTGAAAACAAGAGTTAAGGGGGGGTTCCATTTTGTCCATATTTTGAAGTTAATTATAAAGCCTTTTAAAAGGTATGCAGTGTTGAATAGGAGTACATCACCATCTTCTGATCTAATATTGAAGAACTGAATTTGATACTTATTGATTTTTTTTTCTTTCAGTGAAATGGATAGGCGTTGGTAAAGGAAGAGAATCAATTATAAAAATTGAAGATTAGCACATATATAATTCAGATAACCTTCAGTTAGGTTTCTAGTAGAAATTTATCGCTTTGGGATTTTAAGATATCATTCAAGATTGAGAATTTGAGGATGATCACTCTGTACATAGGCAGAACAAAGTAGGTTGACCTTATTAATTCGCTGAATTGCTTGATGATGTAGTAATTCGAATGGAGTTTGTAATAATTGATCCTAGTAGGTATAATTATTCTAACCATATCATGGTCGTTTTAGGATGATTTTTTGTTTCAAGTTGAATTTGGTGCTCACAAATACTACTTAGTACAATCCTCAAATTCTTGTCCCGACTTAATGGTACTGGAATTTGTATCTGAAGATTGCTTTAAGGTTAGGAAACATTTGAGGGTGGGAAAAAAATGAGTAAACTCTGTCTCAAATAACTTAATGGAAACGATCTCGAAAGCAGTTTGGATAAAAATGAAAGTCCATATTCTTATTCAGATGCTTATTTCCTTATTGGAACATTTGAATTTGTGAGCATTATTTTTGGAAAGTGTAAGACATTGAGAAATCTTGTTTTTTTGTGCTTACTCAGAATGGCCTTGTATAAATGAAGTATTTGCCAAACACCTAACTTGAAATGATGTGAAAGTATTACTATACAGGGTGTTCCATAGAATTATGGAAGTGACAGGAGTGCTCATTTTCAAGACAAACATACATCTGTACAAAGTTATAGGGTTGTTTCTGAGATTCTGTAATTTAAAAGTTTCATTTTAATTCAATAATTCCGTAAATTGTGAATACACCACTTCAAAGAGCATCAATCACAGATTTATTTTTTCAAAATATGTTATCTCCTAATGAAACTATTTTTTCAATGCTATTTGATCAAATACGTGAATTTGCTTTACATCGACCTTGGAACACCCTGTATGTTGGCAAAAAAGATGAACTTGTGAAAACGTGTAATAGTAGACATTTTATTCTGCATATTTGCTACCTAGTCTGTTTTATGTGCACCATTTGAAAAAATCAGTATTCTATTCAATTTCTCTATCTAGACTTAAACTTAACAGCATAAATCTCGACAATATTTTTATATAATTCATATTGAATCAGAAATTACCAAAATCAATACCAAATAATATAATTTTGAGTTAAAATATTTTATTTTTAATAATTGGAATTATTGTATTGTTCATGTGGGATATTTAAGCCAGTATGTGTTAGTAAAGAAAAAAGGGAAGTAAGTATACCTACATATTCTTAGCAGTATTCTTTTCAGCTACGAAATTGGTTGCAAAAGTCAGTCTAGAATTGATTCGGAATGTGTTTTAGTGCCTCAATGAAAATATACTGCTCTATACAATGCACAACATTTATAAATGTAATAAATATTTTCTGTTCAATATTCATGTTTTCGAAAAATGGTTGTCCTACAAAGATTTTCAATATACATATTATACCAAAAATAATGATATTTTCCTTCTGTTCATTCAAACTAAACAAATATATACACTTCCCCAAAAAATTAACAAACCACCAAAAATTACCCAAAAGTTTTAAATACATTTTCGTCAAAACTACTTGTCCGATTTGGGCGTTGAATGACAGGTTATCTCCTGCTGAACATTGGTGTGCAAACTGTATTCACATAAAGACATCTTTTCTATGGTTACCGGGTTGTAGCAATTATTGTTTTATTTTTTCACAAAATTTGTAATACCCTGTTGAGTAAGTAGCATCTGGGGAGTATTATACTCGCCATAAATTTTAGAATGGTTGGGGGAGAGCAGCGTTGCTATAGTTATCGCTTCTTCGTTCGAATCCGAGTTCTAGTGCCTAGAGGCAGGAGCTAACAAAAAAATATAATTAGCGTGGCGGGTACAGCGACTAAATTCTCTCTTCATTCAACCACAGTTACTATGACTCGTGGCGTAGTTGACTGTGCGTTTGAATCTCACTTCGGCAACCCGGGTTCAATGCCTGCTTTTTTAAATTCTGTTTTCTCAAGTAATTTTCCGAAATGTATAATTTTCAGGAAGACGGTTCATTTAGGACTAGTAAGGTAATATGGTTTGAAAAAAGTAATGTTCTTTTTATGCAGAAGGAAGATTTTCCTTCCTCCCTGAAAAAAGAACTGTGGAGGCATTTACTGCAGTTGAGAAAAAGTGTTGACAACATTTATTTTCTAGAGTAAGGGTTTCTTGTGGACGAGTAAGATTGTGTTGTTTTAAAGAATTGTCTCTTAGACTTCCATGTGAATTCATGAAAATGCTATTTTCTTCTTTTTGGGTTATCTTATATCAGTTCAAGATCATTGAAGTAGTTTCTTTCTCAACTTGAAGAAAATCAGCACAATCTGGCAACATTGATATATGACTGACACGGGATTATGCAAAGTCCCAACCACTGAACCACTATTCCATTTTATTAGGCACAGACACAAATTGTAGGGTGTAACAGTTATACATTATCAAGTTAGAATTGGAATGACACTTTGGTCTTATATCTTCTTTTAACATTTCTTATTTGGATTTACTCCATGCATTATCTTATTATCACTTTAAAAGCATAACTTTATAACATAACATGTTTTTATTGAATATAATTAGCATTATAAGCACATGAGTAGCAAGCTATGGTCTGGGGATATAGGCATTCCCTTGAATGGTCGTGATCATAATAAACGGAAGCTTATACAAATGAAAGGTACATATTGGAGACTCTAAACTACATAAAGTGTGATGATTTTTCTTGGTTGCAAGATAATGACTGGCCCCACGTCGCCTATGAGTTGTGATAAAAGTATCTAGAGGAAGTCGGTATATATCTACCATCATATGGCATGGCCAGCTCGGAGACCGGACTTAAATCCTATTAAGAGAATCTCTGGGACATTCTTGGCACGAGATTACAAGAGAAACGTGACTTCACACCATTGTTCAGAAGGAGATAACCTGTTATAATTTCCCATTAAATCATGTTATGCTATAAAATGGTGTTTCTCCAGCAGGTTTACTACATTGCTACACCCGGTATGAATAAACATAGGTTTTAATGCAATTACAGTTTGCTCGTTTAGCATTCAAAACAAAAAACAAAATCACACAAGTTTTGACAAAAATGTATCTCAAACTTTTGGCTACTGTTTGATGGTGTGTTAATTTCTTGGGGAAGTGTATTTCAATTAGAGAAAACAGTTTTACGTGTGATTTAACGTATATGGTAATTTACTACATGTTTGTTGACAATGTTGCCACTTCTCAGAATTTGTCTGAAAAAAATAATAAAAAATGATGTTATTGTGACTGCTCAAGTTCCAATGTCATGCATCACACTGTAAATTGGGTATCTCTATTTTGATCATGTAACATCCTGAAAACCAATAAAGTAAAATAAATCTGGTTATTGTTTGAAGTCTTTGGATCTCTATAGTCATTCTGGATTTTGGTAAAGGTCAAAATCAAACAAGCACAGTTATAACAAACTTCTTTAATACATATCCCAGCTTGAACCATCAACACTGATTTCTGTTCTTGTAGAGCAATACTTCTATCATCACAAAATGGTAAAAGGAATAAATAACTTTCTAAATGAAATATTACTATTTAATCAGAAACATCTGTGGCTGTCAAACACAAATGCTTCAGTTCACAATACATTTAAAACAAAAACTTATTTCTTCCAATCATCCTTTTCATAGTCCCATTTGGATGAAATACCTTGCACTGGATTCACTTGCAGATCAATCATACGTCTCAACTGAGCTTCTCTGTGTTCTTTATCAAAAGTGATTGGCAGGGGACTGTACACTGAAAGGATAATCCATTTTTTATTTTACTTGCATTGCCTTATAAATTTGGGACTCACCAAAAGCTTTCATGAAGTAGAAAAGCCAAAATGCTCCAGACATGAAAACCAATGATAAACCTATAACAGACTTCCATTCACCAGTGGGAGCTTTGAATTCAGCAAAAGTTTGGCAAAAAGAAGCTCTATATAAAGCTTTTTTTTCTTCAAGGGACAGGTTATTCCAGTCACCTTTCTCCTTTTCCCTGAGTGCCTAAAACAAATACAAAGAGGTCAACCATGGCAAGAAGGTATTTTTCTTAATGATAATGCTTTTCTTACTGAGATATCTGGGGTAGGTTCCCTCCACCTGATGGCTGGCAATGGGAAATCAGTCCTGTCAACATAGTTTGGTTCCCCATTGAATCCATATCCAACGATTTCTCGTTTTCCTATCAGATTGCGGACATAACTGGCCATGCCAGCAGTTTGCATGGGCAATTTCGGGTTGGTTCTGACAGCCCTAGCCGTCAGGGCCAAAAATGTTCCAGCCATCTTGAGAGCTACACCTAGAATTAAGATTGGAGTATTTCAAGTGTGTTATGTAATGATAATTCTGTTCTGATTTCTACACACGAGGTGAATTAATTCAAGTATTTTATTTATAAAGGAGAATGGCGACAAGTCTTAACGGATATGCAGTTCAAAGTATTGATTACGTAAAATCTACGGTAAAGTATGCTTAAATTTTTTTGAACAGACTCCATAAAATAATCCACATAAAAAACATCGAGAAGTGAAGTAAATACCTGGTATAGTCCCAACTACAAAATATGGTTTAATCGTTTAATGTTTCATTAAATAAACTATTTTTTTTGCACTTACCTTCAACAATTTCACCACAAAATGGACGAGGACAAACTTCACTTTGGTGTGCTTTGACTTTGGCAAACCGACAACTGACAGGTGAAGTAACATGAGAATGTCATCTTCTATTTCATATTTTTGATGTGCCTTCGGCCACAACAGGTCAGTGGCCACAAATAATACCTAGATGAATTTGACATTGATATATTGATAATGGTACTCTGTCACGTGTTTTATATTATTGTCTGGGGGGGGGCGGGTTGGGAATATATACAGGGTGATTCAAAAGTACTTTGACAACCTTCAGGAGGATTCCTCACAATATACTAGCAGAGATTAGTCAACATCAAAAATCACAGAGCATCTCTGATACTAATAAGAATTGTTGAAATTATTAATATATGTCTGGAAACGCTGCATTTCCATGATACAGGGTGTTGAAGTTTTATCTTTGTTTTCTTTTTTTTTTAAATGGCATTGATAGCTCTATGGGGGAGTCGAATTCGAAACTGATGTTATTATTACTTTTACTCGTAACCTACATGTCATTTTTTTAAGACTAGTAACTTTTTTGAGCGTACCTTCTAGATACTGTCTACACAACCGTAGCGACGGTTGTGTAAACGGAGCCTACATTCACGAGAGCCTAGAGCTTACGAGACATTCCCAAAACTCATTGGTTACGATTGATCACGTGGTACATGAGGCCCTCATTATTGGTTATAATAGATCACCGTGCACTAGCACATTTTGCAGTAAAAACATCGATTTATCTATTATCCATGTGAAAAAGCTACCCTTGCTACAAGTCACTAAGAGCGACTGTTTTATAGATTTTTGGACTTGACAATTTCAAGACGAACAATTTTGAAGAACAATTTGAATCACCCTGTATGAAAAGCATATTAGGCTTCAAATAAGTTCAACCATTTTCTATGAATTATAGTCAGGAAAAAAACAATGTATATAATACCTACGAAGAGGTATGTCACTAATCTTTTATTACTAATTTATTCATCTGAATATTTTCATTCCCCTAAAAAATACACGCGAGCTCTGCCACTGGATTTCCAAGGAGCGTTTAATCTGCGCACGAATGACAGCGCCAGTGGCGCCGCGTTCGGCAAGGCTGAATAAAGTCAATTGTGTACTTCGGAAATTTATGGTGAAAATTATCGAAAAAAACTATGTTTAATCATCCAAAGGGCGTAAAAATACAAAAAGTGCGGTTTGTTTCATAACTATCCATCCGATCGAGGTACCGTTTGTGACTAGAATTTGTGCTTTTGGTTGCAATTTGTTCAAAAGTCGATTTAGTGACAGGGTGTATCGAGTAGTTTTTAGGAAGTCCGACAGAGGATTCGCGAATAAACTCCATAAAATATTAGCCAGGTTCTATTTTTAAAATATGCTTGTGTAGATTTGTGTTGTGTACTACTAATATATGAATGTCTCAGCACCGTGGGCTATTTTTGAAAATCTTCTGGTAAAAATAACTATCTTGTCCATGGGCCCAAAAGATATCATATCAGGAGGAGCCATTTTTTTCATTCTACATATTTAATATTTCTCGCTTTTGATCGGTGTTTTGGTGGTAGTTGGATCCGAATCCGATTCCGTCTGATTTTTGGACTGTATAAAGAGTATCACATCAGTGGTTGTGATGACAATCTTCTGAATATTCCTACCGAGATTCCTACCTAGTGTTTTTCTGTTGAAAAGTTATGGCAGCATTTGATTGGATACTCCAGGAATAATAAGTGTTTTGGTAATTGATTCTTTTATATCTATATTTCATGTACTTCTAAAATAATCACTGCATGACTTCACCTGTTTCAGGCTCCGGTTTAGGTGTTTTTTTTTTCACAAAATGTTCACTTTAATACTCCTTATTACCTTCCTTTGCTTGATTTGGTTCCAGTTTCGGTTGAATTATCATTGAAGTTATATTGTTTGCATAAATTGCTCCTTGATATGATAGCTAGTTGCACAAAATATCACAGTCTTTAGTTCCGTTGCCAGTTAGCACACGAAGTGACGTTCGATGGATTTCCATTAGATGTCCATTTTGGATATTAGGGATATCCCTCGGGATATCCAGATAATATCCATTAGATATCCGATATATATTTGATAGACGTATGATGGATATTCCGGGGAGTGACCTGGAATTCCATAAGATGTCCTCTAGGAATGTTCATAGGTTATCTTTCAGGAATATCCATGAGATTGATCAGGAAAATCCATTAGATGTCTTCTAGGGACAACTACTAGATATACAAAATATATCTCTTAGGGATATCCATGAGATGGCATTGAGGAATATTGTGTATAGTGTTACTACATCATAGGAGAAAAAACAAGAGAGTAAAACATACAATGTATTCAAACTCTAATAAATGAAATAAGAAAGATAATATTTACATTAAACTTCTTCAATCCGGATGAGACAAGATTCGATAAGTTTTAGTTTTTTGAAGATATTTTTATGGGTGTCAGATATATTTACTTTGGATATTTGATGGCTATCCGTGGAATATCTCCAAACATATATCCATGTTGAAATAATTTGAATTAATAACCTCAGATAATCCGTCTGTAGTCCAGAAATTTGAGATACGAATATTTTCAAAAAGGTACAAATTGTGTATAGGGTGTCCCACATTACATGGGCCACTCCCTTATCTGGTAAAATAGAATAGATACAAGAACAAATTGATAATGGAAGTTGTTGATAATCATATGAATTTTTATTTTTTAGATAACTAATGTCAACTGATTGTCAACTATACAGGATGATCCAAATGGAATACCTTAAATTTCATATCCTCGCCTACTTATTACCTAACTAAGTTGTCATCTAGAACGACAATGGGCAGGGCCTTGCTATGGTTTTTGTTTTGTCAAAAAATACATGAGACATAACATCGATTGGATTATTGCTAGGGATGTCGTTTTTTTTTTTGAAAATTTATAGATTTTTTAATCGATTCGAATCGGAACCCAAAAAAATCGATAAAAAAATCGAGTTAAAAATTAACAGCGTCAAATTTGAAAAAAAAGTTGTTTTTTACATGTGATTCTCAATCGTATTCTTTTAGCAACAATCAACAGATAATGATAATAGATTGAATATTTTCCAAAAATAGTGCAGTTGTGGTGGGAAATATTCAAAGAAAATGTATTATAAGGACAGAAAACACTGATTTGTCATCATACTGCAATTTTCTGTCCTTATAATAGTTTTTCTTTGAAATATTTCCAATCACAACTGTACTATTTTTGAAAAATATATCATCTGGATTCACATTCTTCCTCGCATTCTTCTCATTTCAACTGATATTGTGATTTTTTGTCCTTGTAATACATTTTCTTTTGAATATTTTTCACCACAACTGTACTATTTTTGGAAAATTTATATAATCTATTATCATGATCTGTTGAGTGTTGCTAAATGATTATGATTGAGAATTACATGAAGAAATGTACATGCATTTTAGGTATTGAATGCATATTTGTCCCTTTTAATAACTTTCAAATTTGCTCAAATTCAAATTATCGATGCACCATTCGAAAGTTATTAAAAAGTCAAAAATGTTAGCCCCTAATCAGTTGGATAATAGACGTAGCCATGCAGAATAGCTGCAATTTGACGTAAGGTGGCCTCCCCAGCAGAAACAACTGACCGAAAAAAAAATCGTACTCGTAGGTTGTCAATTTTGATTGTTTTTTAGAGCAACTCTGTTCATCCTAGATCTCTTAGTTATGAGATCTAGCAGTTGAATAGGTGGTGAAAATATCCACTCAAGTATGTCAGGTAATGCCATCTGTCAGCAGAGTGGTTTACTTGTAGTACCACTCTGTAGCGTATAGACGTAAGGATCTGTACGTGTGACTATAGATGGCAGTGCCACACAGTGTGTGTCGTGATTTCTGGATCCTACCTTAAAGCTTTGCCACTAGATGGCTCATAACTTCATGTTATACCCTGCGTGATTGTTTTTTGTTTTTTTTTTCTCAGAGCTATCGCCACGGTGGCGTCAGGGCCGGAGTTGGGGCCGGTGGCCGCCGACAAGGGGGCCGATTGCTGGTGGTCCCCGCTGGCGGCCATGGGCTGCTTCGGAAACAGGGACTCGGCGCAGGCGGGCTCCGAGGACATCAGGACGCAGAAGAGGATCAGCGACCAGATCAACAGGCAGCTAGCCAAGGTAAACCAGAGGTTTCGAAACACATTCACTTGGGAAGAACCGAGAGGTAAACCGCGGTGGAATTCTGGTGTACTAACAATAGGAATTCCTTGGATTTTCTTGGATTTCCTTAGACTTACTTGGATTTTCTTATATTTCCTTGGATTTCCTCGGAATTCCTTGGATTTCCTTGGATTTCCTTGGAATTTTTGTAATTTCCTCGAATTCCTTGGAATTCTTTGGGTGAAGTGCGGTATAATTCTCGTCTACAAACAACTGGAATTTCTTGGAATTTTTTGGAATTCCTTGGATCTGTTTAGAAGTCTTTGGATTTCCTTGGATTTTCTTGGAATTCCTTGGATTTTCTTGGAATTTCCTTGAATTCCTTGGAGTTCCTTGGAATTCTTTGGGTAAAGTGCGGTATAATTCTCATCTACAAACAACTGGAATTCCTTGGATCTCCTTAGAATTCTTTGGATTTCCTTGGATTTTCTTGGAATTCCTTGGATTTTCTTGGAATTCCCTTGAATTCCTTGGAGTTCCTTGGAATTCTTTGGGTGAAGTGTGGTTTAATTCTCGTCTACAAACAACTGGAATTCCTTTGAATTTTTTGGAATTCCTTGGTTCTCCTTAGAATTTCCTTGGATTTTCTTGGAATTCCTTGGATTTTCTTGGAATTCCTTAGATTTTCTTGGAATTTCCTTGAATTCCTTGGAGTTCCTTGGAATTCTTTGGGGGTGAAGTGCGGTATAATTCTCGTCTACAAACAACTGGAATTCCTTGGAATTTTTTGGAATTCCGTGGATCTCCTTGGAATTCCTTGAATTTTCTTGGAATTCCTTGGATTTTCTTGTAATTTCCTTGAATTCCTTGGAGTTCCTTGGAATTCTTTGGGTGAACTGAGGTATAATTCTCGTCTACAAACAAGCCCAGGTTTTTCCTAAACATTTCTATGATTCCTTGTATATCCCTGAAATTACCAATAATTTCTCGAAATTCCTCACAACTCATCAATCAGCGACCAAGTCAATAGGCAGCTCGCCAAGTTAAATTCTAGTTTTTGAACAACTAAAGTTTTGGAGAACAATTCCGTGTGCCCATATTTTTCCTAAAAATTCCTGAGATTCCTAGTGGTTTCTCAAAATTCCTCGAAATTCCTCATTAATTAGCGACCAAATCAAAGAGCTGCTAGTACCCAAGGTAAATTCTTAGTAATTTTTCAAAATCCATCGAAATTTCTCACAACTTAATCAGCCACCAACTCAAAAGGCACCTCTAGCCAAGGTAAATTCCTAGAAATTTTTCAATTCATTCTCTCATTCATCAGCGACCAAATCAACAGGCAGCTAGCCAATGTAAAAACGAGGTTTCAAACACATGGGCACTAAACTTGTGAAGGGCAGTTTCTTTTGCTCAGGTTTTTCTGAAAATTTCTTCGATTCTCTGGGAATCTCTGAAATTACCAATAGCTCCTCGAAATTCCTCACATCTCATCAATCAGCGATCAAATCAACAGGCAGCCAGCCAAGGTAGTTTCCTAAAAACGTCTGGGATTCTTCGTGAATTACCCCCATTAAGCTAGCAGAACCATTTTAGATTTTTCAATTTTCGGTCATAATTTAAGCCTTATTTGAGGCTAAATTATCACCCCATTGCCGAATTTATTGCTCTTCGAATAATGCAAATGAACGTGGGTTCTGCTAGATTAACGTTTTTACTAAATATTTAGAATCATCATACAAAATATTCAATATTAGTAATGGGGAAGACCATTGAGGGATGAAATCCGTCCAAACCTTTTTTAACCGATTAATCATAATTTACCTCGTGATTTACCTTGATTTACATGTAATGTTCAATCAATATTATTAGTTAAAGTTGAAGGGAATCGAATCTTTTATAGCGTTTCGAAAACTACGACACGTCTGAACTGCCATCCTAAAAAACTTTTTTTTTTCCACGACCATTTGCCTAATTTACAGTTGCAACTATAAATTAGGCAGGGAAAACTTTTTTTTCAAAGCACCTCATAATTTACAGTTACAACTGTAAATTGGCACTAATTTACAGTTGCACATGTAAATTAGGAGATATTTTGAAAAAAATGTTTCTTCTGCCTAATTTACAGTTGGAACTGTAAATTAGAACAAGAGAACTCTTTTGTTTGCACATCTCCTAATTCACAGTTGCAACTGTAAATTAAAGTCTCACAGTCTCAGTTCTCACAATTTCTCACCAGACTACCAGACATAGGCAGCTTTCATTCTTCGATAGCACGCGATGTGCTGAGACTGTGAGACTCTATTCACAGTTCTACTGTAAATTACGAGATGTGTAAAAAAAGAGATCATGATCTAATTCACAGTTGCAACTGAAGATTAGTGCTATTTCACAGTTGCCACTGTAAATTAAGCAAATGTTCGTGAAAAATAAGATTTTTTAGAATGTCTGTTCAGACGCGTCGTAGAAATCAGCATATTCCATATTTCAAAATGCCAGATATAAAGGTGACGCCATGTGACGTAGTGCCACGTCTGTAACTCTCTAGGAATATCGGGAGAAACATCAAATCCTTCATTTTGGATGTATAAAAACCATCGATATATACGTCTTTGAGCATATAGGGTAGAAAATAAAAAAAGAGCTATGATAATTCTTGAGGAAATTATGTTTTTTTCCTTAAAGGAGAAACAGCTTTATAGAGCGACCCACCGCCTGTTGCTTTTGGGTGCCGGAGAGTCCGGCAAGTCCACCATAGTCAAGCAGATGCGCATTCTGCACGTGAACGGGTTCAGCGAGAAAGAGAAGAAGCAGAAAATCGAGGATATTAAGAAGAATATCAGAGATGCCATCATCGTGAGTATCCACTGAATTTTTCACACCTAGTCGGATGACAATGAATTTATGCCATATGTTGGAAACATGTACTTGTTGAACTAGATCTCATAACTAATAGCGAATTCCACTGGCAGCACTGGTACGAACTTTTATCGCACTGAATGTATTTCTGTCTCAGCTCGTCACATAGGACTGAAGAAGGATAGATATACACTGAGTGCGCACTAGTTTTACCAGTGGAATTCGCTATTAGAGGTCTAGCACAGTGTTGCCAACATGGAAACTGTCAAAATCCCACATTTCATGAAGTCATTTCCTGTCACATTCAAAAAATAAAGATATATCGAAATGAAGAGAAGTTCTCTAATGGTAATGATATGACGCCTAAAAGCAAAATATTCATTATCTTCTCAATATAATTTTTCAAGAAAAAAAATCGTATGAAAATTCACAGACACAAACACACAAACTTCCACGTCAGTGGTCAGTCAGGTCAATGTCAGTACAATGCACTATTTAGAGAGTGAAATATTTTGTTTCATCTGCGAATCTACGGTTTCATACAAATGTTCATCAATTGGCACATGACACAAGAAGGCAGAATTTAAATTTTTGATGAGATGGCGGTTTATCATCCATTGTAAGAGATGAGTTTCCACTGGATGAGACCATAGCAATACAGTTTTGCACATTCGCAAAAATTCCATTGTGAATTATCATGGACATACACGGTTTCCCGCATATTTCCCGGAAAATAATTTTTTCACCAAAAATCCCGCATGCTTTCGGATTTTCCTAGATGCGGAAAATTTCCCGCCAATTGGCAACACTGGGTAAGATAACCAATGAACAGAGTTGCCCAAGGCTCAATGTCAGCAGGAGCGACACCGCAGGCCGCAGGTCTCATCAGTCGCTCTCGGTCTACTGACTACTGGGACAACTCAACGCTTAGGAAGTATATCCAGGATGAACAGAAGATGGTGTAGAAACTCCTATTGAATCCCATCTACTGTTTTTCGGTCAAAGTTCGTGACCTACGGCCAACTTGACAGAAGGATTCTTTTCAATATCGCGGAATTTAGGTTGCGTTGTACCCGTTAGATGGCGAAATCTCAACCAAAATTCAAGGTTGGTAGAACTGATGATAATTGAAATTCCCCAAAATTACAGTTTCCTACTTTCAAATTTATTCTCATTTGATTTGAGGTTGTTATGAATGTTATGGTATTATTATTTCTGGTGCAAGCGGCGTGTAAGCGCCGTTTTCTGTTTTCTGCCATGAACGAAATCTGTAAAAAGTTGTATTGAGGAATCTGCGGTCAAGCGTATTGGGAGAAAGGAAACACTGTCTGTGATTACACCATATTCTATCCACCTTGATCTCATAACTAAGAGATCTAGGACAGTGTTGCCAACGTGGGAACTGTCAAAATCCCACACTTCTTGAAAACATTTCCCGCCACATTCAAATTTATTGAATAGTCTATGAAGGAATTGGTTTCGAAAAATAAAGACACGAATAATCTATGGAAATTAGGAGAAATTATTTCAAGTGCTGTCATGGTCATGGCTAAAAATTGGGAATAATTGATTTCATAGTGACAATTCGCGGTAGCCAAGGTCATCATCTGACGTTGTGATGGCATGAAAACTACAGGAAAATATGATTGATTTTTAATCTAAGCCAGGAGTTATGAATGTCTTCCCGTAGTTATATAAACCTTGGTGGTAAATAATATCATTACCACGGGACCATATACCCCTCCGCTGAAGCCTGGGGATAACTATTTTCAGACCATTTCCGGAGCGATGTCTACGCTGAGCCCGCCTGTGGCTTTAGAAAAGCCAGAGAACCAAGCCAGAGTCGACTGGATTCAGGACTGCGCTACCGGCCCCGATTTCGACTATCCCCCTGAGTTCTATGACCACACCGAAGCTCTCTGGAAAGATAGGGGAGTACAGGTAATTTTCTTGAAATTTACACTATTATCTACAGATTCCTCATGAAATAATCTTGGTAAAAGAGAAAATAATACTCAAATTGAACTTTATGTCTCTTAAGGCTGTGTCTCACGGTCCAACAATTTGATCAAACTACAGATCTGTGATGTCATCAGTGACATCACGTCAAACAGCAGCTGAAAAGTAGAACTTGTTATGAATGTTTGTCATGTTGGATCAAACAAGGTTAGGATGTTTGTTTTTATTTTTTCTTCATTGATTATTATCTTAGAACAAGAAATACTATCGTCAATTATCAATACTTCAAAAATGCCTGCCCTAGTAATTGGACAGAAGACCATTCCAGATAATTATAGGAATATTTTTGTCTTGCTCCAATCCCAAATTTATGCTTGGTTGACAACAGAGTAGATGTAGTAGTAGTAGTAGGTGGGGAGGCTGTAGCCAAGCAAGTAGGCCCCGATGGGCCCTTTTTGCTAACCCCTTCTCTCCACATATCTACGCTTCCTTCGCCTAGATTTCCTTTACGAATCTCCCTGACCTTTTGATGAAGGCCAGTATGTACGTCCACTCTAATATAATCAAGTCCTCCTGTTGAAGTTTGTCTACTCCAAAGATTTCAAATCTCAGCCTGTCGTACGACTCGCACTAGCCGAGAAAATGGTCTGGTCCCTCTTTCAGCTCTTGCCTGTCTGCTATGACCAGGATGGTGAACACCTCACCTTGGAAAACTGTGGTGTATTTTCCTAGAGCGTAGCTTTCTCGTATGTTTCCCCTTTCGAGATAGATCCCTGCGCCCGAGACCTGTTTGTCAGTCAGACGGGATCCGTCTGTGTAACATACTAAGCTTCCTGGGCGAAACTCCACAGTATTGTTTCTCCATTCTTCTCTGCTTGGAATAGGAAGTTTGAACTTCCTATTCCTTCTCAGCCTGTCCTGTACTTTATTCACTCTAAGAGTGGAGATAGGAATCTCTTGCTCCACCCACTCTGCTATGTTTGCATGTCCTGTTATTGTCCCTTCACTTGCCCAGTTTTCTGAGTCCCGCATCCTCAGGTGGGCCGCCATCGCCTCCTTCTTTATCCAGATTTGAAGCGGTGGTAGCCCCAGCATTACTTCTCTAATGATGCCGTTGGCGTCGTCCTCATTGCACCTGTTATTGCTAGGCATGCTGACTAGAGAGTAGATACTTTGTTATGATCTCACCTCATTTCTGCGGGTATACGTTCACGTGCATATATGGATTGATTAACATCTCCCATCCATTCTTAGGTAGTTTTGAAATTCACTAAGGAATATTGTCCAGTCTGACTTCATCAAAAATCATAGGTAGGACTCCTCTACCAATATTTCTTCTTTGAAGATCTTCAAATCGTGTGACAAAGATTTCTTGGCATTTCAAACCATTTGAGTCAAACAAGAATGACGTCACATCGAACAAATCTGATCAAATTGTTTGACCGTGAGACACGGCCTTTACTGGATTGGTTGGTGGCTTGACGATGAGCATTGATTCCATAAACTTGGAAGATGTTTTTCTCTTTATTCCAGGCCACTTTCGACAGAAGTAATGAGTACCAATTAATAGACTGTGCTAAATACTTCCTCGATCAAGTCAGTATAATAAGACGGCCAGATTATACACCTTCCGAGCAGGACATCCTGCGTTGTCGTGTCCTGACCAGTGGAATTTTCGAGACGCTCTTCCAGGTGGACAAAGTCAATTTTCAGTGAGTACCTATACAATATAATGATTGCAATCTTCCAGAGGAAATGTATTTTTCGTGGACCTCTACAAAAAATCTCATTTTACGTTCTAATTTCGGAACGAAGAACCTACTATTTCCCAAGGCAAGTACTTTTCGTCCGCAGGTCCGCAGACACTAACTTTTCGTCCGCAAACACTTTTCGTCCGATGTAGTGTTGCCAGTTCTACTGAATTTTCAGTAGATCTGATTTGCATCTACTCATCTTCTGAGAAATATTTTGACACTTATATATTATTATAATGGGTTGTGTGCAAGAACTGTCACATGACCGACCCTAGAGGTGAAACATTGAAACACAACCTCACTTTCCTAATTTGTTTACACGTGATTGAAATAGTTCACTCACAATTATTTTGGCATACGAATCGTGTTTTTCGGCTATTCACTAAATCGCGCATGCCATCACATTGTGCTGTTGTACAATGTACAAAAAATGCAGCGGGAGACGAAGGAATTCGGTTGAGAAATCAGAAATTACCAAATTTCAAAATGAAAACTATATGTGAGTGACTATAGTAGGTACTTTCTTTTAAATCATGATGTACTAACCGGATTCTTTCGTCTCTCGCTGCATTTTTTGTGCATTGTACAATAGCACAATGTGATGGTATTTGCGAATTAATGAATAGCCGAAAAACAAGATTCATACAGTGTGACCCACTTCTAATGGAAACACCCCTGTATCTTACGTAATCATTGGGTAAGGATCCTGAAATTTGCTGGAGCTAGAGATATACCAAAAATACAAAGAAGTGGGTCACACTGTACCAGGTGAACAACTAAGAACGGCTGTCGGCGTGATCTGTAGTATCAATAGATATCGTGAATTAAAAATATTATGTATGTGCATATTATTACACGATCAAATAGAGGAACTAAATCTCAACTCAACTTTATTAATTTTGTAGACCATACAAGGTATAAAACAAGTCACAAGTTACATTTACAATAGACCAACGAAAACTGCGACATGATAGCCTTTCGCTAACGGAAGATATTGACGATCAAAGTTGGAAAAAGGATTGATGACAGCCGTTCTTAGTTGTTCACTCGGTACATATGTCAAAACGATTTCCATCATTCCTCTAGAAAATGTGACAAGCCCCTAACTTGTCCACTGTGTGGTGACAATCATGACGTTAAAGCATGCAAGTCCCAAATACGAAAATGTACTAATTGCGTTAAACTAGCGAACAAGAATATTTCAGTAGATCATGCAGTCTGGGAAAAAGAGAAATGTACTGCTTATCGAACTGCATTAGGAAAATTCAAAAACAATCTACTTAGCTGTTCATAGCAACCATCTGAAACAACTGACAGCAACACCTTTTCAGACTCTCCAATGAGTGATTATAAAATCAAACTGTTTTATCAAAATACTAGAGGTTTACGTTCTAAAACAACACAATTTTTCAATTCAATATCAGTGAATGAGTACTCGATTGTTGCATTGACTGAAACTTGGTTAGACAGTTCAGTGAGAAGCGATGAATTATTCCCAAACTGTTACGAGATATACCGTTGTGATAGAAATTTTGCTGAATGCAGGTGCTCGAGGGGTGGAGGAGTCCTAATAGCAGTTGATAACTCATTCGTGTCCTCACAGGTTGAAATAACACCATTGATTCCTCATGAACTGGCTACAGTGGACATAGTTATGGTTAAGATTGTGACTGATTCAACTTCTTTCTATGTAATGAATATTTATATTCCACCCTCTTTGTCTAACGATAAGTATAATATCATTTTTGAAACACTTACTGATATTCAGGTCACATATGATAATTGTATTCTCATTACTGGTGACTTTAATATTCCTTCATATGTTTCATATGTACAGGGTGGAATACAGAATGAAATAAATACTCTTCTCAATAACTTTTCGGAAATTAACAACTTAACACAGTATAACCATGTTTATAACGATTATGGCAGAATACTTGACCTCACCTTTTGTAGTAGTAGCACTGAGTGCCGCATTGAGAGATCATCGGACCCGTTAGTACCCGAGGATAAACATCACCCTGCACTTAATATATATTGTAAGCCTGATGTTGTTCATAACTTGAAAAGAAATTTTGTCACGTCCTACAATAAGGTGTACAATTTCAGGAAAGCGGATTTCCCTCGTATGTATGATCTCATGGCTAATATTGACTGGACCTTCCTGGAAGCTTTCGATAGAGCAAATGATGCCTGCAATTATCTATATGGGAAGATTTATAATGTATTGAATCAATGTGTACCCCTAAGAAATACTAACTTCAAGCGAAAATATCCGCCATGGTTCGATAATAATATCATTAGAGAAATTCGTCTCAAGGCGAAGCATTGGCGCTCGTTTAAAAACAGCGGTGATGCTGTTGCCCGTGTCGAATTCAGTCGTTTAAGAGCCAAAATCAAGTTGGATGTAGACAGAGCTTATAAAAAATTTGTAAAGTCAGCTGAAGAGGAAATCAAAGACAATCCTAATAAATTCTGGGCATATATCAACAGCAAAAAAGGATCCACCACCATTTCGGATAAAATGTCTTATGAAGGGCAACTATTAGAGAATCCTCTTGATATTTTGAATGGCTTTGCAGATTTTTTTTCTCAAGCGTATACCATGAGTTCACAGAGTGATTTTACCGATTGCAATCCGTATTTACAGGTTTTGAACATTGAATGTTTTGACGAGAATGAAGTGTTGGCAGCTCTGAAGCAAATTAAACCGAAAATGACCACGGGTCCTGATAACCTCCCTGCAATGATTGTGAGAGATTGTGCATATTTTTTGGCTCGTCCATTATCTATATTGATCAATATTTGCTTGAAAACCTGCACAATGCCTGACTTATGGAAATTATCAAAAGTTTGTCCGATATACAAAAAAGGCGATAAATTCGACATCGGTAACTTCAGACCCATATCCATTATTTGCAATTTTGCCAAAGTTTTTGAAATACTCCGCATTTGAGCAGTCAAATCACACCACTTCAACATGGTTTCATGAAAGGGCGTTCCACAATCACCAACCTTTTCAATATTACTCAATATATTTCTGAAAGCATTGACAGACGATTGCAAGTTGATGTTGTATATACAGATTTCTCAAAGGCATTCGACAGGCTCGATCATGGACTATTATTGTCGAAACTATACCGTTACGGATTTTCCTTGGCACTTATCCAACTTTTTGATTCATATTTTACTAATAGACGTCAATATGTTATGTTCAATGGTTTCAAGTCTGTCGAATATGCAGCAAGCTCGGGTGTCCCTCAAGGTAGCAACCTAGGTCCGCTACTTTTCAATGCCTTTATCAATGACATTATCGAAGTAATTGATGTCAATTGTTTGATGTATGCAGACGATTTGAAGATATATTGTCAGATAAATGATATTGAGGATTGTGAACGGCTATCTTTAAATCTGAAACGCGTTGAACAATGGTGTTGCAGTAACAAATTACCTTTGAACGCTAGCAAATGTAATGTGATGACATATACACTTAGAAATCAACTCATTTTATTTCCGTATGATATTAGTGATACAATACTTCAACGTCCGCCCACATTTACCGATTTAGGTGTCACCTTTGACACAAAACTTTCATTCACACCGCATATTGAAGCTACTTTGTCTGCTGCAAACAGGATGTATGGATTCATAGCGCGGATCTCTAGAGATTTTTCCGATTCAGCCACATCAAAAACATTATATTATGCCTTCGTCAGATCAAAACTGGAATATGCATCTTTAATTTGGAATCCGTCTCATCAGCTGTATATAGAGAAAGTTGAATCAGTACAACGTCGTTTCCTAAAACTTCTTTCCTATAGATCTGATAATGTATATCCACCAATCGGGTTTCCTCATGATACATTATTGGCTAGACATGCTATGAAAAGCCTCAGTTGCCGTCGTGATTGTCAATCCACAGTGTTCCTTTTCAAAGTGGTGAATAACATTATCACTGACTCACACATTTTGCAGAAGCTGAGTTTCACTGTGCCTAGACAAACTTCTAGAGTTTTCAATACATTCTATCTTCCGACACCACGAACAAATATTCTGAAATATTCTCCTCTCCATAACATGTGTTCTATATACAATAATTCATCAAATAATCAGCCAGACATCTTTCATTGCTCTATCTCTACGATTAAATCTTTTTATTTCAGCTAAGGTCTTGCCTATATTTATATACTTTTCAAAATATGAAAAACTGTATTATTAGTTATACTTATTTCCCTGTTCTGTAGTTGGGTTTGACCTGTAGAACAGTGTAACATTAAATAAATAAATAAATAAATAAATAAAATAATTGTGAAAAACTATTCGCGAGATTCACGAAGTGGACGACATCTAGGTTACATAATACGAACTTCAAACTGGGGGAAAACAAACTGTTGTCTATGAATAAAGTGCATAGACTACATTGCATACAGCTTGCTGTAGCTGTAGTCAAACAAACGAGCAAATCAATTGACATATAAAAGAACAGCTACAACATGTTTACAATACCCAGATTGTCCTGCTTTGCATGAACAAATACAAATCCATTGTTCTACAGGAGTTCCTCTAGACCTCAACTTCAATGTTACTTCATCTGGGGAAGATTTCATCGCCGAAGTTTGTAGACAAAGTGCAAAAATGTGCCTTTTGTTGAAGTCTTCTGCCTCACACAAAATCACATGATTAGCACGGAGAACAGCTTCTCCTTCCACTACTGGTCGGATTTTTCCGTCTAAATAGAGCAAAATATCTGCCAAAAGGACATCTACAACAGGCATCATTAGCGTTTTCGATTGAATATTGACAATTAATGTCAAGAAATTTAAAAACTTATCACTCTTATCAGTACACAGTACACAAACTAATGGCACTAATGGGATTGAGTTTGTTTTTCCCCAGTTTTGACGTGGCTTTGACATGGAACGATGAAAACCGAGTGCCACCTGGTAACATTGATTCCCGCGAATTTCAATCATTTGTGAACAAATCAGAAAAGTGAGGTTGTGTTTCAATGTTTCACCTCCAGGGTCGTTCATCTGACAGTTCTTGCACGCAACCCACAGAAGTTATCACTTCAAAAAAACGTGTTTCGTTGTACAGTATGTTCGATGTGGGCGGGCAACGGGACGAGAGGCGAAAGTGGATCCAGTGCTTCAACGACGTGACGGCCATCATCTTCGTGACGGCGTGCAGCTCGTACAATATGGTGCTGCGCGAAGACCCGACGCAGAACAGGCTGCGCGAGAGCCTCGACCTCTTCAAGTCCATATGGAACAACAGATGGCTGCGGACCATATCGGTCATCTTGTTCCTCAACAAGCAGGATCTGCTCGCCGAAAAAATACTGGCAGGTGAGAAAGAGAAATGCGGGATTCCATCTTCTTCTTTGCTATATAGTGAGATAGGAGTGTCATTTTGCAAAGGGAAAGATCCTTGATAGATGAAGACTGACGCTGTGCTAGTAGTTGATCGGGGTTCAACTGCCTACCCAAAACCCATAGTATTTTTGCAAGAAAAGTACATTAAAAAATAACTGAAAAGTGGGTATCTCCCTAGTGCCCACTAGGGTTTGCAATCCCGAACCAAAATTTCAACCCGGGATTTCGGAATACTCCAATTTATAAATACGTTTGACAACTTTATTTTGCAGGATTCTGAGTGCTTCTATAATTGATGAACTAGCCGTACCCCAAGAGCACCAGGTTTGCAAGTGTTTCTGGCCAAAAAACTTGTGTTTAGTCCATCAAGCACACCCTTTTTGCAAATTTTTTAAGGCCAAAAAACTTGTGCTATAGAATCAAAGTGGTGTTATTGAATGTTTGTCACATGCTTCTGAATCGCATGAAAAATGAAATTTTTTATTTTATAATATCTCAAGAAATCCATCAACGATGATAAATCTGGCTTATCCCTTTTTCAGGCCAAAAAACTGTTCAATTTGGCCTCATTTTTCATCACATGATAAAAAATAAAATCACTCATTTGATTTTTTTCTAAATTTTGTAAAAAATCATTCCACGTGATTCTGACTCGTAAAAATTGTCATTAGATTCCACCTACAATGATCGTTTTTTGGAAATCCTGAAAAACTTCAAAACCTTCATCGCAGCCTCAGATTACCGTTACACTGAAGAATTTGAATCTTCGTCACATGCTTGGATCTCATAGGAAATAATAAAATTATTATCGAATCTGATGGAAAATAAGCAAATTGTTGGAGAGGTTTATTGATTCTTTTTATTTTGTATTGTTTAAGGAGCATTCAGATTTGATATAATCCAGCTATAAATTACATTCTTTCATAGTGCTATTTGATGAAAATTGCCAAAATAAAATTTTGAGTATGATCATTGTTTTTTCAGGTAAAAGCAAGTTGGAAGACTATTTTTCGGAATTTACGAGGTATCAAACCCCGATGGAGGTGGCAAACGACGCCAATGAACATCCCGAAGTTTTTAGAGCTAAATACTTTATAAGAGACGAGTTTTTGGTAAGTTAATTTCAGTATTTATATACTCTTTTCATAGCATTCAATTGGTGAATAATTTGTATTATTGGTTCCTTGCTGATGAAGCTATAACGTAACGGGACTAAATTTTCAAATCGATCAAACTAAATTGTCGGCAAAATAATTGATATTCATTGACGTATGTAGTGAATGTCACCAATATAAATTTTACCCCCATTGCCAATTCTACAAGTTTATAGCTGACATGATTACTAATAGAGTAGGTCATAGCACGTTATAGGTTCAATCAGATGATGCTGAGCAAGCGCAAAGTTACACTTTTTCGCACTGAGGATGGAAGAGTGAAACAACCTGAACATCTCATGGTATGCGCTTGAACGACGAAAAACTTATACGAACTCCGGTTGGCGGTCGGAGTGATAACTTCACTATTATTTTATGTTCTACTTCCGTTTAGGTTTGGCTATTTATAAAAGCCGCATTGGATCAGCCATCTTTGATTTTCTAATTTTGACGAAGGAATCATAATCCCCGATCATGAAAACCCCTACAGGTACCAATTTTGAAGAGAATCGGATTATAATTACAAAACTCGTCCGCCATATTAGTTCCGCCATCTCCAATTTCCAAATTTTAACACATTGAATCATAATCTCCGACCCCGAAAACCCATAGATACTACTTTTGAATAGAGGCGGATTATAATACAAAACTCGTCGGCCATATTGGTTTTGCCATCTCGAATTTCCAAATTTCGACAAAAGAATCATAATCTCCGACACGCAAACCCTCAGACACCAATTTCGGATTTAATTGAATCATAATAACAAAATTTGTCTGCCATTTTGGATCCGCCATCTTGAATTTCCTAATTTTGACGAAGGACTCATACTCCCCGATCCAGAAAATCTCTATACACCAATTTTGAATTGAGTCGGATTAAAATTACAAAACTCTTCCGCCACATTGGATCCGCCTTTTTGAATTTCCGAATTTCCACGAAGGAATCATAATCCCCGATCCCGAAAATCTCTAGATATCAATTTTGAATCGTGCCGGATTATAATTACAAAACTCTACCGCCACATTGGATCCGCCATCTTGAATTTACAAATTTTCAGGAAGGAATCAAGTTGCGTTTCATTTGTTCGATTCTGGTAACGGTGGTGGAAACAGAATGACGTTAACAAATGAAACGAGAAACTTCATGACCTCTGGCATGAGAGAATTGACATATTATAGATAGAGGTTATATTCATATATTCGAGCTCCGAATTATTTCGATAATATAATAGATTGAAAAATCAAGAAGATGAAGAAAATTAATCAATGCATTCATTATTCCATATTTGGAGCAGTGATTGTGGTGCTTGGAGAATGTTCTCTGAAATGGAGATGATTCATTTTATCTGGGAATAAATATATGAATACCTGTTTTGAAAGAATCAATAGTTGTGTTTTATTTATTCGATTCTGCCTCCGCAATCACTTCGATGTGTCGTTTTATTTGCAACTTTTCCGATTCCGGTTGCTACTTTCCATTCCGTCTCACTACAAGAAATGATGTGGAATGACTGTTGACAGGTGTCAAAAAATCAAATGAGATTGACGAAAAACGAACCTTTTTGAAAGTAAAAGACATTTAGAAGTCATTTTCAGCATGAGCTTCACTAGTTCATGATTCTTTCAAGTAAGACAGGTTTCATATTGTTACGTTATTCGGGTGCAGAAGCGAACACGACACTATTTATTTTCGAACTGATTTATTTGAACTAAAGAAACACTAATTTATATCGAACTTATAACTACTATTTATGTAAAACGATTTATATCACGCGGTATATAACTGTCTCTGTGACACTCGCTGTTTGACTGACTGATGGCAGTTATTCGGCCGTTTATATATGAGATCACTTGGCAGGCTTTGGTTCGAGAACCTTCTCGAATGATCTTCCGTCTCCTTCTTTTTGTTCTAGAAGCTTCTTAGAACAAACCTCTCTCTCACTAATTGTTCCATCGATTGTTTCCAGAACATTCCAGAATCTTCTGCGACGTTATCTGTCACTGCGGCATATATTGAGTGTTCGGAAATATGCTAGTGCATGTAGGAATCATTGGGAGGTAGGAGAACGATCTGGGATGCGTGTTACAGGATGAGCGTTGTACTCCTGTCTTACTGATGATGTTTCTAAAGCCCCTTTAAGGGAAATATTATTACAATATGTTCAATCCCAAATAAAATAAACTCTGTCGATCTCAGAGAAGTTTCATCAATCACCACAATCACTGCTCCAAATATTAGTTGTTTCATTTTCGAGATTCCCAACATTAGTTTTATGCTTTTTGAATTATTTGGATCCCCCATATACAAATATAACCTCTTATGTAAATTCTCTCAAGCAAGGTTATGAAGATCTCTGGCCCCGAAAACCCCCAGATCATAATTATTACAAAACTCGTCCGCCATATTGGATCCGCGATCCGCTTGAATTTTCTAAAAGTACCGGGATAAAAAGTATGTTCGTAAATGGCATTGCTCCTTCAATGGAAATGATAATCTGAATCGATAAAAGATGTTGATTCTTCAGTGTTAGTAGTGGAAAAAAATACCTCTGATATAAAAGTGCTTTGCTATTATTATATAGCTCACTTCTCTGTATAATAAACAATTTTTTTGCAGCGCATAAGTACGGCTTCCGGAGAAGGCAAGCACTACTGCTATCCCCATTTCACGTGCGCAGTCGACACCGAGAACATCAAGAGAGTGTTCAACGATTGCCGTGACATTATACAGCGCATGCACCTCCGTCAGTACGAACTATTATAACCGCCCACCTCATTTTATAGCATCTTTCTTGTCTCCAGCGCTTATACAAAAAACGTTCGCTTCCTATTTGTCAACTAAAAAAAAAAAGAAACTAAAATTTTTTCGATTATATTGCAAACGTAACTGACCAGGATATTCCACTAGCTATAATGACAAAATTTTCACTTTTAGATATCAGGATAGTACTAAATTCTTTCCAGGTTTAGTTCTTGTATTCCCAAAAATATCTGAGAAACATTGACTTATCTGGAATATTTAACAAAACAGTGCAATAGTTTTTCATGAATTAATGTTGGTGCCTAACTAAATGTCATCAAGTTGAGGATAAACAATGCATTACTGCAATGAAAACTAGTACATATTCTACACCCACAGGGCCGGATTCACCACAGGGCACGAGGGGCAACTGCTCAGGAGCAAATTCAGAATTGGGGGAGAAAATTTTGCCAATAAGTAACATGATATATAATAAGCAAAAGACAGGAGAATGGCACAGTGATCAAGAATTTTACTCCTTTGACGATTTTATAATTATAATATGAAAATAAACAAGATTGATGTATTCTATATACAGAATATCCGATTGGAAAACGGACAAATTTTAACGGTGGTCATCAAGGTAGCTCGAAATATACCATGCATATTTGTATAGGGTCCTGTGAGTTTTATAACCGAGGTGTTCTAACGTTTTTCATTCAATTTTTGGTGAGGACATAACTTACGAACCACCCAGTATATTTTTTGATAATTTGGTACACGAATCTTTCTTCTACCCAAGAGACTCACTAATCGGTCACGACAAAAATCCAGGTCTTGATTAACGAAAATTGATCATATTTCTGGATCTCGCTTACATATTTGAAAAGTGCACTTTTATTTTCCGCCATGATCTTTCACTAATGAATTTATGATTTTGATTTTGAATTTGATGTTTTATGCATTTGGATAGGTAAAAATGGAATGTTTTGAGTTTTCCCATTTGAATTACACAAATTACCACAATCTGTTTCTATATCCTATTGAACAGTCATAGTCAGCATTTGTATCCTGGATGAATAAGCCAGTGTGTCTTCACATTTCAATATTACTATAGAGTACCTATGTATTAGTGGAAAGAAATTGTACAAATCAATCCATATAAGGACATGTCACTAAGTTGAAAAATTGTTATTTCCTCAAATATTAGAACAATAAAAATAATGAAAAATCTACCTTCTCAACTTGAAACATAAAAATTACAACAATTGATGCTCAAAATACCCTCCATTTCGATCGAAAAATTTTCTTGCTCTTTTTGTAATACTTTCACCCGATTTGAATCTCTGTTTTGAAAATTGTTCAAAGAAGAGAAATATAGATAGGTATATCGAAAAATATCAAATTCTCACATAGCTTTGTTCCGTTTTTACCATGAAAAATCAAAATTATTCTTCCCGAATTTGATGAAATTGATAAATTCAAGATCAACATCTGACACCATTTTTTTTTATTTTTGTAATGTGTAGGGGACGAAGACATATATTGTGCCCCCGGCGCCCAGTGGTCTTAATCCGGCCCTGTTTGTTTTCAAAAAGAATCAATTTTGGACCATGAAAAGTGGGGGCTCAAAAATCGAAAAAAATGCATTTTGTATCCTCTCAAAGCAAGACGAAGAAATTTAGATGCCAACAAATTATTTATATAGAGTGTTCCTAGACCAGTTGGACAATTGAAACAATAGAAATTTTGAAAAATTCGCAATTTCAATTTTTTCCAAGTACATAACTAATTGTTCATAAGTTTTGTGTTATAGCCTGAAGAATATACAGGGGGTCCCATATCTGTGGTGACGTGGAAGACTGCATGCCTGTATATAAGATAATCTGTTCATTCAACATTTCAAACCTATGGAAAAAAATGTATAGTGCCAAGACCATTTGGTTGATTCAGAACAAGTGATCCATTCAGTTCCATATTGAAAAATATTTTGAATTTTTCTTTCTAGTCCAAAAATTTGGGAAATAATAATTACGGCTATGGAATTTGAAATTGGATTTCGGAGAAACATGTGTGGGACATAACCTATATACATTAGCACATCATACAGTGAGTTGATACAATTTGTAATAAAATCGATTAAATACTAGTTCTTCCAATATTACACGCTCACTCAATATATACAGGGCCCTTGGGTATACAACAAAGTTCAGAATTTAATAGAACAGATGGAAATGATACTGAGAGTTTGAAATAAATCAGTTTCTGAGAAAAATGTCCTGATCGATAGAACGATATTATCGATAACTGATGATTTTATCCAAATTATCGATATGATCAATCGAATTTTTTTTCTGTGAATTATTATTGATTTATCTATAAATTCATCCACCCCTAACTGTGACACAGTCTCTTATTTTGACCCTCACCCACACACCCCAAATGAAAAAATTCCGAGATTTTTTATCAATTTCCGATGCTTATTCATTTGATCTGATGTCACCAGATGATAGAATCTACAAAAAAAAACGCTTTTGAATTTTATTTTACCTCATTTGATACACCATGTCAAAATATGTACATTGTTAAACCAGTGTGATGGTAAATTTTGGATCGAAATTCATTAGTTTTCAAAAAATATATATTTTTTTTATGCACGTTGTGACGTTTCACACATGAAGAATTAACATAGAATGAATCTATACTCCCAGTATTACAATTCTGAGTTGCGGCACTATACTTATGGGACACCCTGTATGTAACGGAATTCCATTGGTAGATCTCGCATTTACTTTTATACTTTTCACTATCTCAAAGTTCAACATCTCTGAGTACAACGTAGGACCAATATAATGACAACGCAACATGTAATTTAGTGATTATATTTTTTTTTTATTTGACAAATCCGAAAATGAAGTGAATCTCTACAAGATACGCTGAAACTAGAAAGGCATTATTTGAAATCACGGTGTAGTAATAATACCTAATGATAGCATCACGATTTTTTAATCAATCTTGAAAGCTACAAACTTTTCTGAAACTTGTGAGCATGTCCTTCAGTTTAAAATATGAATGTACAAATGATGGGGCATTCAACAAAAACCTCATGCTTTCAGCGGTGAAAAAAATGTGATCTGAATTTTCTTCTATGTTATGGATATATTTGAAATCTACGATCAAATCCAATGTTTTTCATCTATTGATTTTGTAAAAATTTGTGTTTTGAACATTAACAAGTTATTGCTTAATTTTTATATATTTTTATATGTTGATCTATTTTTATTTTGAAATTTTATATCTTGTGTTTTTTGTTGAATTGAATGGATAGTGCAATATTTTTATCGCATATTAGATTCAGATATACTTTATTTTGTTTTAATGTTTTACTTAAACAAAAAATTGTCTCTCAATAACATAGTACCAATTAATTTCCTTTGGTATGATTTCACTCACCCTCTTTTAGGAAACTGAACATAATTGAACGTCTACTAGCTTGTAACTCCTTATAATGGGGAAGACCACTGAGGGAAGAAATCCGTGCAAACCTCTTTCAATCGACGAATCATGATTCACATTTTATGTACAATCAATATTATGAGTTGAAGTTGAAGGGAATCGTATCTATATCGTTTTGAAATCAGCATATTTCATTCGATATTTCAAACAGCCAAATATGATGGTGGAGTCGTGACGTATTAGTCCCGAACTGTAGCTATCTCTCTCTGATACCTCGTCATTCTGCAGTGTTGAAGTGTAATTGGTCAGTTCAACGACAATAGGCGTGTTGGGACTAAGACGTCGCACCAGTCACACCAAAATGAATTGATGACATTTAAAATGGCGCAGGAATTGTGTGTTTTGAAATGGACATACACCAATTTTTTTCATCGTCTTAGCATGAATGAAAAAATTCAAAATTAATTCACTGGTAGTTTTTCAGTATAGAGTTCACGATAATGTCGTTTTAAAAAATCAGTGGTCTTCCCCTTGTTCAGATCTGCATTATTTTTGTAGGTATTGAAACAAAATTTCCAACCCTGTATCTTTGTAAATTATACAGGGTATCTCAGAGTTGTTGTGACAACATATTAGATAAAGTATGGAGAAAAAAGTTCAAAGGAACATGGTCCGAAAAGTGAGGTTTTGAGCTCAAAAACGCTCAAGCCCATTTTAAAAAAAGAAATTTCCTAGGTTTGTTCAAATAATTATTAGACATCTGCTGGACCAGCGAACGAAATTTCACCCTGCCGTTGTTTTTTTTTCCAAATAGTGAACATTTCAGTTGAAAACACTTTTAAAAAGATGGACACCCTGTGTCTCGAAAACAAAGCATTTTCGGTTCCAGCGAAGCTCGTGGTTTTCCACAAAAGAGGGTGAAGTAATGAAATAATGCATTGATTTTTTTTTATTTGCAAATCTGCCGAAGTAGGCGGATGGAGACTATTTTACCTGTAGTTGCACAAAATAATGAATACGATTCTTCATGTCTGCCATAAAAGACGTTGAAATAAGGTATCAATTTTCTAAAAATACGGCATATTGTTCAAGGAAGTGAAAGGCTACCAAACGATCCTAACCTTCCAACAATATACGAGTAAAGTGTATGTCTTATATTTTTTTTAGCATTACCTTGTTCCGATTGTTCAGTGTGGGACAGAAATGACTCTGAGAGAGAAAGTGAGAGAGAAATTATGCTTCTATTAGTTCTGTAGCGACTAATGAATAAAAATTATGCAAAAAATACAATATATGTGCCGCTAGTCCTAAGAAAACCAAACAGTGAAATTACGTTTTAAAAATCGAACTTCACTGCTTGGTTCGCCAAGAACCTTTTTAGTCTGTGGGTCATGACAATATACAGCGTGTCTCACTTTAAACGCCCCCCCCCCCCCTATATCTCAGTTATTAGTCATGCGATTCCAACCAAAATTGTGGTATGAATAATCATCAATATGATCAGTTTTACAGAGATGCATATTATTTTGGCCAGTGCCGTGCGTTTTTATTGAACTAAAAAGGGGTCGATTTTCCATAAAATCATATTAGACATTTTTTCACAGGAAATCTAACCTCATATTATTGTTCCTCATGCTTTCGAACCCCCATTTGCGAAAAATCTCCTAATTCCGAATTAACAGGATTGGCTTCATATTTTTCATTTTCAGCCTCGAATAAATAGTGACTTCAAATCAGCTACGAATTTTGGAACGTTCAATGGCTCCGGTAGGTGGAAAATCATGATTTGGAAGGAAAAACGAGTAATACTTTTTTTATGTTGAACTCACCGTTTCCGAGTAAATAATTATTACGTTTGCAAAGATGCTGTTTAGATGTGCCTGTTTTTCTGAAACCCTTCATAGGCATCTTATGAAAATCCACATATGTGGGTTTGAAACCATGAAGAACAATATTATGAGGTCAGTTTTCCTGTGGAAAAATGCCTAATATGATTTGATGAAAAACTGATCCCTATTTATTTCAATAAAAATGCGCGGCACTGTCTAAAATGATGTTTGTCTTTGAAGAACTGGTCATATAGATGATTATTCATACCGATACAAATTTGGTAAAGATCGCACGACTGATAGCTGAGATATAGAGGGGGGCCGTTTGAAATGAGACACGCTGTATATACAGGGTGTCAACAAAAAAACAGAAAATGCCAAGGGTTATGTGTCTCCACAACTTACAGGGCGGGTCCGATTTTTTTAACCAAACCGATGAAATCGGATAACTTTAAAATGATCTCTAGAGTTTCTTTCATCTCAGAAAACTGTGCCTAAACAATTATATTCTAAGATATTAGTGTGGTTTCAGGTATACTAGATGATTCTCTAAGGTGGCTCAACCATATAACTTTTTTATTATTGAAGAACACTGATATTTGAGAAATGAAGTAATTTTAATCCTAATTTCTATTTTCCTATCTAGAATGCCATGGATCTTGTAAATCGCTTCATTCTTGATCAAGTAACATGGGAAGAATACTTCTTTGAATTTGAATTTTTCCAGTTGACTTGATTATTTTAATTGGAAACAGGGTGGCTCGTCGGCTTTTTGTGAAATATCATTTTCTTACGAATAATTTGAATGTAGGTTATTTTCGATCGCAAAAAGAAAAAAATGAAGTTGTCATTCCCAGTCAAAACAGAAGTTCGACCAAGCAAGCAAATATGTCAAAACATGTTAATTGAACTATAATATACAACCCCCAATTTTTTTTTTTTTTAATAATAAATGGGCTTTATTTATTGATAATTAATAATTTATAAGAACAAGAGATTTACAAATTATAATTATATATATATTACCCACCGACTTGAGAGTAATAAGTCAGTAGGTATACCTGAAAAATGGACCCTGAAACCACAATGATACTTGAGGTTAAAATTATTCTTTATCAATATGCTCATTTCCGTTGACTAAAAAAGGCAAGTGTAGAAAATATTTATTTCATGTCAGACATTCAAGTTTCTTGGATAGGTATATTAACTGTGATTAAATTAGCTGATTTGACTATTTCTGGTCCAAAAACTAATGAAATATAGATGTGTCCTTGAATCTGTAACTCGAATGGAATAACAAAATAATTGCCTCTTCATTTCACAAGAATTTACTAAAATCGTTCGGTAACATCGCTGTCTTGTTTTTGGATATTTACCTCTATATCCTGACCCACTGACTACTTTATAAATGTTATATTTGTTAATAAATTATAAATATTTATAATCTCTAACAGTGAGTTTGTGGTCAAGTTGTAGAAAATCAGTTTAATTTTTGTAAGCAAATGAAGAGTTCAGTGAATCCCGAAAAATTAATCATCAGAACTCCTTTTCAGTAGGTACTTCATCTCTATTGTTTCGTTTTAGATGTGGAACTTATTTGTCATATTTCGGGGATTCACTAAACGGTACTTTGCTATTTGATGTAACTGAATGCGTGATAGATAAAACATTGATGAAATAAAACTTTACTTTTACTTCTTGACTATACAACACACTCTAACATTCGGAAAATATTCATTTCATACGTTTATGTGTGACCAGTAAATGAAAACGTACTGGGTGCGTCTAGAGACCTCTACAACAGAAATCAAACATCACAACAACCCACCCAATCGTCGTATCCAGTCTCTTTTTCTGATTTTTTTTGTAAAGCTTTCCTGAATTCATCCTCATTGAATTATACCGCCGATGTTTGTGGTGTTTGTTTTCATTGGGCTCTTCTTCTTAACATTGGTGACATCAACTTGTACTGTGTGTTTCTTGACGCCTCCCACATTGAATGTTTATTTAGATATTTCTATGATAATCTGTACAAATTATTTCTAAAAATTTACTGGACTTTCTTGTATTTGTTATACAAAATCTTAAAGAGTCATATGTTGATAATACTTAATCTAACCTAACTTTTTCGCTGTGAGCGATATGGGTTAGGACCAAAAAACAAAAAATGCACAACAAGCAATTTTGTGTAAGTATGGATTCTGGAGCGAATGCAATTGTGAATGATTTAAATAGTTGTGAGCAGATCTAAAGCAGTATTTTTATTTTTTTCATTTTACTTGTTTATATATTGTATATGTGAACACTACGGTTCATATAGCAGAAACGCTGCCCTCTAGAACCTATGTGTCTATAAATATATAAATAAATTAAACATGAAATTATAATATTATGTAATAAAAAACTGTAATAAATATGTCTTATTTAGCTTTGTGATTATCATTTCACCGTAAAGTTTTGACAGCCAGACTGGCTTCATTGCCAATAGCCTGAAATCATGAAAACATGATATACTTTTTTCCATTTTTCTGGCACACCCTCAGAAATAACACCAAAAATTTCATGAAAGTCAAAGCTGTTCGTGATTCGCGGATTCCACTGTATTGAGCAGTTTTTCCTAAAACTGTAGGAAAAATTCTTGAAAAACGCATCGTAGATTTCATGAATAAATAGTCTATACAGGGAGTCCCTCCGAGAACTGCATCGATCAATATATATAGAAAACCATAGGTGGGCCGAATTTGAAAATTTTGGAGTTCACTATTGTTGATAAGTGCTATCCGGCTTGAATATTTTGAAGATTGTGGTACTTCCGGTTGTACCGGAAATGGACCCCAACTTCGTTATTTTAAATGGCACCCCAAAAAGTACTCACTTTTTTCCCGTGGGAAAAAAGTGAGTACTTTTTTCCCGAATATATATCACATATATACAGTGTGTCCACCTTAAGGACTTACCACCCCTGTAAAATCGTTATTATCCGACCAATTTCAAAACACTTTTTTTTGTTGGATAGGTATTTGAAATGCCCATCCAACGAGAGAGTGATCTAATTCTTCGACTGTTATCGTGGCCAACTGCGACAAATTTCAATGTCCCATATTTCAGAAAATACTATTATAGGGATTTATTTCCACGAAACTTGATGATAGATTCTGAATCAGTACCACTTGAAATATACCTGTACCGATTTTCATCATCGTAAAACACAGGGTGTCCGAAAAAACGAATCATCATTTTCTTCAAATAGGTGATCAGCAAATGTAGTTCTGTGGTTTTTCTAGAAGAAAATAATCACAAATTATCATTGGGGATCATTTCAGATATACCTGTACCAATTTTCGTCATTTGAATATACAATGTGTCTGAGAAAAAAATTAAAAAGGATAGGTAATCAATATTTCTCATCCTGATGATTCTTCACTCAAAATAAAAAGATGAATCAGGATCACTTGGAACATACCTGAACCGATTTTCATCATCATTAAACACAGGGTGTTCGAAAAATCAAATTAATATTATTTTTGAGTTGATGAAAAAACAATGCCTACTTTTTCTTTTTAATTGTTTTCTCAAACATATCGTATTTTTGAATGATGAGAATCGGTAAAGATATGTTCAAAGTGATCCTCAATAATAATGTGTCATCAATTCTTCCCAAAAATACCACAATACTACATTTTCTGATCACCTATTGAAAAAAAACATAATCCGTTTTTTCGGACACCCTGTGTTTTATGATGATAAAAATCAGTAAAGGTGTTTTTCAAGTGATCGTGATTCAGAATCCATCATTGTTTTTTTGAAAAAAAAAATCCCTAATAGTACTTTCTCAAATATGGGCCAATAAAGTTGGTCGCAGTTGGCCACGATTACAGTTCATGTGTAAAATCACTCTCTTGTTGGATGGACATTTCAAATACCTATCCAACAAGAAAAAGTTTTTTGAAATCGGTCAGATAATGAAAATTTTACAGGGGTGGTAAGTCCTTAAGGTGGACACACTGTATACACTGTTGATGGCTTTTGTTGTGCTATAGTTCCAAAAAATGAGTCAATAATACCGTCTCCGAGAAAGAACTGCAAGTCCTTTTATCTTCCATTCGACTTCGCGGTTACGTATATTACTAAAACAACCACTAAAATCGCAATTTTTTGAAAATCACAGAATTAGACTGACAGAAGTGACATCAGATATTTGATTACTTCAAAACAATGATAAAGATGCCTACAACGCAGGTGTCCCTACTGTTAAAAATTTAAAATTTCACGTCGATAATTTTCAGATTTCAAAATAATGTAACATCTTTTCAATATTGATTCGTCATTTCTTCTGTCACAGACAAAAATAGTGTATTATACACGGGAAAAATATTAGATTTTAGCCCACGGTTTTTTGTCTCCCTCCACTACGCATCGGGAGACAACACAACCTGGAGCTAAAATCTACTACTATTTTCCCTTGTATAAAAAATAACTATTATTTCATAGAGACGAGAGAAAATCCCAAAAAAAATCTGGAATAATGAAGAGGAAGATCTGTTTTCAATAAAGAGTTGGGGTCAGTTATTGAAAGAAAAGTCCGTAAAAATCATATTTCATTCCAAAAATATACTTATATAACAACTTATATAACTATTATTTCATAGAGACGAGAGAAAATCCCAAAAAAGATCTGGAATAATGAGGAGGAAGATCTGTTTTCAATAAAGAGTTGGAGTCAGTTATTGAAAGAAAAGTCCGTAAAAATCATATTTCATTCCAAAAATATACTTATATAACAAATATATGTACAAACATTATTTACAAGGTCATTTTCAATACAGATATGGCTTCACCGGGGGTTGAATTCCAAAATTTTCGAAGGCGGGCTCAAATAAACAAACGGCACAGCCTGACAAGCAACAAACCCGGAACTAGTCGAAGCCTGATCCGGACTCCAAATCGCCTGCAAACCCGACGCACCATCCATCGCATCCTTCTCACCCTTCTTCCCACCCTTGTCGGCGCTCCTGCCAACCCCCAATTCCTCCCTCCTCTTCCTGGCCCGCCTGTTCTGGAACCAAATTTTCACTTTGACATCGGCCAAGTGTAATTTTTGGGAGAGAGAGGCGGCCTCGTCGCTGCTGAGGTAGGGGCTTTCCTGGAACTTTTCCTCGAGGGTGGCGATCTGCTGATTGGTGAACGGGATGCGGGGGTAGCGGCCGAGTTGCCGTTTTTGGGGGGCGTCCCTTCGCGTCATTCCTACAAACAATAGCTATTTCACTGATGTCGCTTTTTGCTGATGATACGGCAGTTCTTGCATATTCGACAAATTTCGAGCAAGCAGCTATGAACCTCCAAAGCGCACTGAATTCTCTTCAGGAGTACTTCCTAAGATGGAAGATCAAATTGAATCCTACAAAAACACAATTGGTCGCACTCGGAAGGGAGCGGAGGCCTCCCAGAACCAGAATAGTCCTGGATGGTCATGAGTTAGAGTGGTCTTCACAAGTTAAATACCTAGGTGTGTGCATTGACAAAAAGCTCACCTGGGCCCAGCACATTGAACAGCAAGTTTCTAAAGCTAAACGAGCCATTGGAGCCCTGTATCCATTTCTAAACAGGCGAAGTAAATTGGGTTTGAGACAAAAATTGAATATTTATATCATGGCTATCAGGCCAATTTTACTGTATGCCTCAGTAGTCTGGGGCCACACAGCTAAATCTCATATCACCAGATTACAAACATTACAAAACAAAGTCGCGAGAATGGTGACAGTATATCTCCTTGGTATGTTCGGAATAACCAGATCGCCAGGGATCTGAAACTCCCTTCAATCGTGTCAGTCATTAAAGAACGAAACATCAAGACTTTCGAAAAAGCTGAGGTTCATGAGAATCAGCTTCTTCGAAAATGCAGTTGATTATGACCCAGGTGATTAATCAAAGTTCAAAAGACCGAGATTGTCCATATAAACTAGAGAAAATATCGACATTATGACCAAATTTACTATTCTCAAGTTTTTGATATTTATTTTTTCCGTTCGATCTCTTTCAATTCTTAGAATGTATTTCTGAAACTTATTTGGGGCAGAAGGGCTGTTCGCATCAAACTTCAATACCGTTTTTATTTTGTTCCATAATAGATATCAGGATAAGAGGGACTCTTCCCTGGTCTGAATAAAATAAAAGAAAGATCCAATATATATTTATACAGGGTGTATCTAAATTCTAAATAACGCCGAAAAAATTCAAGGGGTGATTCCTTGTGATATTTTAGGAAATAAAGTTCATATACCGGGTGACACTGGAGACATGTAGCAGCCTGTAGTGTTTTTATTTGAAGAGATAAAATTTTGAAATTCACAGGGGGTGTATAATAGATGGTAGAGCGCACTTTACGACCTTAAGACAATTTTTTTCAACCACATGTTTGACCGGAAGTGACCTCAACTATTTTTTTTTAATGTCACCCTGTAGATTTCTTCAGTCTATCTTTTTCGCCTCGAAATTCTCTATCCAACCATGTATCACAAAATGGCATTCATCCCTTAATTCGCTGTTGAATTGCTTTTTATTCAAAAAGAATAAGTTGGTTGTGACATGAATTCGATGATATATATCGACACTTGGTAGGCTTTGAAATTTGAATATCATTAGTAAACCGATATTATTCAAAATGTTTCGATATTCTGATCAATGTCTGCAGGTTGTCAATAGCTTGTTTGAGTCAAGATGAAAACCTTCGAAAATAACTCATGATATTGAGGAATCTAAGATAGGAACATATTTTTTCGAATTCAGCAACTCGTACAGAAACTATCTGTCTTTTATTTTCGCCATGTACCTATCACATGATCTTTCCATTTGGAATAATAAAACTAAAATTGTTCCTCTTTTACGATGATCCACAGGACTATCAGTCTATTCTTTCATAATTATTTCACTCAGTAGGCGGTGTACCTACACAAAATGTTTTAAGTGTTTGACAGTTAATCGATTGCATCAATAATCTTTCTTCTTCATTTGTGTGTTGATTAAAATTGCATATTATCAACAAATGGGAAGATCATGTATATGGAAACTTCGAACGCAAATATCTTTCTAATCGTTTGAAATAACCCTATCAAACCCGGTATCGTTGAATGATAATGATAATCCTTAACCGATTATGGATTACAATACAGGGTGTTCCATTTGAAAATCGGAAGTTGGCGTCGTTTCCGGTGAACCTGGAAGTTATAGAAGGAAAATTGTTTCATAAATTGATGAACAATTCGGTATATTTACTACCTATCATTTTTCAAAACCCCATCTAGGATAATTCAAAAGTCACAATTGGCCGTTTATTGTGCACTTCTCTGTATATCGTAACTAATACCTACTGAGCCACGCAATAATTATAACACTGATATATAACATTCAGTTCTCCATTAAATAACAGTAAAGTGTCCATTATTTCAAATTAGAATCATCCTCATATAAGCATAAAACTTTTCGAGTTGGAGCAATTTAAATTTATAGCAAATTTTCAGAATTTCAAAATATTCGATTGTTATTCAGTAGAGTTTTGATTGGAACTATAACCTTATCTCTACAGAGTAATTGGTTGAAACCTCTTCATAAATTTGAATGAATAAAATGGTGTGGAAACACCCGGAAAAAATTCAACCGTATTCAAATGCCGAGGAATTAGATGCTGATGATAATGTTCTATTATAGTGATATGAAGTTTAGTTCAATAAAAAGTTAATATGAATTTGTAATTTTGGAATATACATTTTAGACTTCTGTGGTAATTTTTGGTAGTTTTGTTTACAAAAATATTATGCTTTTATGATATCATATTTACGAACCCTGCTCATAAGTGAAATGAAGGATAAAATACTCAAAATGTTTTGTTCCAATAGAAATCCAATGAAATCAGTTAATTTGTAGTCATATGATTGAACACAACCAATCAAACCAACATTATACTGATGATTTTTTTAATTTACTCGGCCATACTTGATGGAAATCCATGGCAAATGTAAAAACTTCACAAACGATAAGATTTCCACAAAACTCTCAAACACACGACATGTTTCGCTAACACAGTAGCTTCGTCAGGTGTTTGAGAATTTCGTGGCAATCTTATCGTTTGTTAAAATTCTACATTATACTTATAATTGCATTCAGTGCAATTATCAATCACTAAGACAACACGATTGACTTTGAGAACTTTCATTAGTTATTAGGAAACAAAAAAAACTATACTTACTTGGAACTTTCGGCGGACAAAACCTCGAACACTGCAACCAATCGAAGGCGCCGGAAACATCGACCCTCCCGCTGTGCTCACCCTGTACATCCTCGTTTTTCCTTTCGCCCCCCGCTCGATTCAAAATGTGCTCTATGCTGAAGTCGCTGAGACTCCTCGAATTAGAATCTTCCCTGTCCATTTTCAAAATCATCCCAAAAACCGCACACCACCGGAATCGGCGTATTTTATTTCTATCCCGAAGGGCTTCGAAAAAAAGTTGATACAAATGTAACGAGAGCAAGTTTGCGCCCTCATTTTATATAGGTAACCTACCCCACTCTTCGACGGCAACCTAATCTGGTAGATGTTCATCTTTTTGGGCAATTAGGTGGAAAATCTAGTGGCCTGTTTGTTTGCCAATACGAACGCCCTTTCTGTGGCCCTCGGTGTTTCTTACAAACCGGCATTGTGAATAAATGTATGGGCATTGGGCAATTTACCGATTATACCTATATACATATTGTATTTATATACGGTCTCTCAGTGAGAGCGAGATCATATCTGGGCTTTTTGTGGTAATTTTTTATCAGTTAACTCTGATAGTTTTCTAAAAAAACATAACTTGTTATACATTGTTAGAAAGAGAAAAGACCAGTCTTTCTGAATGTGCAAAAATATACAGGGTGATTCAATGAAATAAAAAAGTTGCCCTATACCTGAATAATGGCTAGTTTGTTTCCGGTAGAACCGGATGTTCAAGAGAGAAGGTGAACCTGTCAAAAAAAAATTGAAAAATATCAAAATAGACTAGTCCAAACTGCACAACGATAACTTGAATAGTTTCAGAGATATAAGAATTTGAAATGGGTCAGAATATAACTGGTCACCCGGTATTAAATTTTGTCCGCCGATAAATCCGACAAAACTTGTGGGATTATGGGGATTGTCAATTTGACTGCAACATGTCATATACAAATGTCCAAAACCGCTTCGTTACTGACATACAGGGTGATTTATGGATTTTGACAAAAAATGCAATCTCTGCCATGTAAGAATTCTCTTCATCTTATACGTCCTTCATCAGGACAGAACAAATAGACCTGTTTTTGAAACAAGATTTATTGTAAAGACATTTGCTAGATAAGTACCTACATAAATTAGAAATCCTAGTTCTGATGTTTGATTCGATCTATTTGTGATGATTTGCTTTGGTGCACCAACTTCTAATGCCCTAATATGAACATAACATCCATCGTTTTGAACGAAACTATATATCCTACCAAATAATGTCTTTCTCCTGGTGTCACCAATCTGCGAAGTTACCAAGCTTGGTCTTCTAATATAGCAATCCACTGACCTGAGATCTGATATTTCATAGATGAATGTATGTATGTATGTGTCCCCACAATAATACACGTGGGTTCAGGAACTATATAATTTACTTCCTGCTGCTTCCTGCTTTACTTGTGGAAACTTGTGAAAACGCAGCACTCGCTGTCCGGTATTTCTCCAATCTGGCATAATTCGGTACCGCTGGTGTAAACAATCAACACTCTTTTTTCGTCTCTATTTTCTCTTCCTTCGGAAAATCTCTCCTCATATTCTGTGTACTGTCTACAGCAACAGCAAACACGCATTTTCTATTCAAAATAATTTAAATATCCCGGTGCGGCATCGAACATCCGGAATATCTCGAAACCAGCTTACTTATAACCAAGAATGGCAATCTATACCGTTGATTTCTGTGGTGAAATGCAGAAATATTGGACTTCCGGACTTCTTATTGGACATCATTTTAAAACCTACAAATCGGCAACAAATGGTGATAGATTGTTACCCAATTGCAGTATCTTCATCGATTGACATACTTCAATTTGCTGCGCTAATTTCGCTCATGACATTGTTGCAAAGCTTCAGTTTTGATGGACAATATCATTCTCGGAATTTACAGGCAACAAAGCTGTCGTAACAGTCGCCCAATATTTGTGGTCAAAATAGTATCACTTTTGGTATTACATATGAAAATTCCACACCAGTAATTATTAACTATTCAAATTGTTTTTTTTTTTTTGAAAAATCACAATAGCAACCGCATATATGTATTGTAGTGAAATTTAATCGGATTTTTTTTTGACGTTTCAATGACAGAATAATATAATAATTTTCTACCACTTGTATTGCTTTGAAACACTCGTGAAATTGAATCGGAATTTTTTTGACGTTTCAATGACAGAATAATATAATAATTTTCTACCACTTGTATTGCTTTGAAACACTCATGCAACTGGGAAAGGACAACAAAGTCACACTTATGTGGGATCCAGGGCATGAAAGAATCAAAAGAAATGAGGCAGCTGATCGCCTTGCAAAAAAACGGTGCAGCATCTGCACTTTTTGGTCCTTTGCCTTTTTGTGGGATAAGCAAATGTCACCTAAAGAAAGAACTTAGGAAATGGGAAGAAATTGAAAAGTCCTCCTACTGGAGAGCAACTCCAGGTCAACGACAAGCGAAAAGGTACATCAACCATTCGCAGAATCGAGCCAATAAAGAGCTACTCAGCCTCAGCAAACCAGAGCTAAAGCTTATCACAGGCTTTCTCACAGGACACGGCCCTCTGAGGTACCACCTCAAAAGATGGGCCTGGCGGAGACTGACACTTGCCGCTTTTGTAGCAATGAGACCGAAACCGCGGAACACATACTTTGCTCATGTATTCCGCCAAAGGCTGAACCACCTATAGAACAGGTCTATCTCACCCCTGCTGAGGTGGAAAATTCAACCGTCAAGGGTAATCACAATAGATCTTCTAGGTCGCAGTAATCGAGAGGTCTCCCAGCCTATACGACCTATCTACAATCTACAATCTACATCTACCACTTGTATAGAAACCTGCAGTTACATTCTGAAATGGTATTTTCATGCAACTGCAATAGGTAGAAATCAAGAATTTGTAAACTAGGAATGAATCTATTGCATGATGCCGACACAAGATACACAATCTTGGGTGAAATTTTCGTACTGAATACCACACGGGGGCAAATTATTTTCCAGACATTTTTTCGAGCTAATGAATATTTTGAAGAAATAATTCAACTTCTATACTGGTATACAAGTGATAATCTATTTCAAGTCAGTTCTATTTTTTGTTAAACCTTTTTTTACTCGAAACAGCCTGACCACACATCTCTCAGACAATAATATTTCTAAATTTTTTCCAATTTCGCATCCCCATGTAATCCTCCTGACAAAAAGGTAGACAACCCCCAACTGTGTCCGTGAAAGACTATGGATATGAGCAAATATTAATGAGAAAGTATCATGCGAGTTTTGAGGTTTTCTAATTTCTTGCATGGGCAAACACGATTACCCTGTAACTGATACCTTATTGAGCGGTAGAATAACTGAATATTATTCATAAACAATATTCTTCGGTTTGATGGAACATCTGGTCATCTGGACGTAAGCAAAATGATATGTACAGCAACCATAAAAATTTTTTAGAATTCATACCGGGTTCATCACGTTATCTATACAAGGTGTTTTTGAAATAAGTGCACATATTCAGCACATTAATAGGATACAGTCTAAGCTAAGGAATATTCCCATAATATCAGATTTTTTCTAATTATTCTAATTGACGAGAGATTTCATCCCAAAAATTGAACAAAAAATACGAGAAAAAAATCAAGTAGGTACGCCACTTGAATGATTCAACATTCAACTCCGCCTGATTGTGCCTACTCAGGGCCTACTCTGCCTACTGCATGGAAATTTGAACAGAAATGACGTCAGATTTGCTACCTACAGTGTAGAACTTTGGGTGGGAAAATGAGTCTAACCTAAAATTTTATTTTGATACCTAATTTTTTTTTAATTAGTGCCATTCAATAGTACACGTCGATCTTTCCATGTAACTTTTTTAATTCTTGTCCGATTTTGGTGAAATTTCGACCAAATCGTGTATACATGTTTCGTAATATTAGCCTAGATATAAGGTCCTAAGAAAAGCTGATGGCTTGATCATTATACAGGGAAAAACAAAAATGACTAAGTGACTCTTTCACCCTTAACTTCTTAACGCCCTGTGGTGAGTGGTTAAACTGAGCTTCCTTATGTTTTAGATTAAAGTGTGATCCCTTCTTAACACAATGGTTTTCGATTCTCGTCGATAACCATTTTTTAAGAAAAGATACGAGTGTATCAAGAAAGTATGTTTTTCTTATTTTTATTAACAATAATTCAGAACCATTCTCCAACCTTCTGCATTATCATGTGTTGTATTGAAGTGTGATCCTTTTTCGTCCCTTCTTAACACAATGGTTCGAGATTCAAGTGAATATCTTCTTTTTAATGGAAGATACAAGTCTTTTAAGAAATATGGATTTATTAAATTTTTATCAACAATAATTTAGAACTTATAGAGCATTTTGGGGATGAACTCCAGAGGCTCATTCGCCTTAGTTCGGCCATGTCAGAGACTCTTCAAGAGCTACTATTCGCCCTCCAAGGAGATTTTTAGGCAATTCTTCAAGACTACTTTAGAAATTTGATCAACTCGATGCCACGGCGGTTGAATGACTCGTTATTGACTATATACAGTTCTGCTTTTTGTTTGTTTTTGTAATTAAGATTTTTTCTGTAAGTGCTAAGAAAATGACGTAGAAAAATGTAATATTAATTCTTAGTTCGTATGGGGACTCCCACCGAGGCATGGGGTCGAATCCCAGTTAGGCCATGGATGTTTGTAAATGTATGCTTTCCTAACCCCGCACAAGTTTCGACTTATGGGGCGTTGGATCCAGTGCTGGGTCCAACGAGGAAATGCAATTGGAAAAAAAATGAGTGTTAATGAAATTTGAAAAATGACATACTTTCCTAAAAACACTTGTATCTTCTTTTAAAAATGAGATATTGACGTGATTCTAACACTATTGTGTTAAGAAAGGGCCACACTTCAATCCGAAGCGTAATAAAACCAAGTTCAACCACTCAATTTTGCCACAGGGTGTCAAGAAATAAAGGGTGAAATATAGTGACTATGATTTTTCCCTGTATACAGATCAAGTCATCAGCTTTTTACTTAAACTAATATTCAGGCTAACATTCCGGAAAATAAACCTACGATGTGATCGAAATTTCACAAGAATCGGACAAGCATCAAAAAAGTTATAGGGTGAACAATTCTGGCAATTTATTTGGTGGCCGCGGTTTTTTTTGCCGGTGACTGTACATAAACTATTCAATCAAAAACCTGTAGCAATCTGAACTAGTATCATTCTATATCATCTACCAAGATACTTTTATTTATTGAGTATTTTCACTACAAATATAAATCGCAACGTACAAAATCTCAAGTCTGGACACCAAAATTGAAATCTACGTTCGGAGCATCGTATTCCCAGGCATACTTTCTCGATTGATTCGTCTTTCCACTATCTGGCGATGCAGCCACTGTTTTGAAATTGTCGTACCCCAATACGAATCTGGCATTT